TGCACCCCACTGCAAGACAGGGCTGTCCTGCTATTGCCTGGGGAATCAACCTTTGCTGAGGAAAATGCTTTCCCAAGCAATTTCCCACCTACTAAGATGTTCTCACCTCCTGAATCTTGTTTGAAAAGCCAAACTGAACTGGTGGAGAATAAAATGTTTGATGAAAATGTTTTACTGCAAGACATGTGGCCAGGTACGCTTCAGTGCTTTTGGAGTAGGTGTGGGTAAGGATCTCAACTCAGGTGCCCAGGAGTCACAAAGTTACTGTCAGTGCTTCCAGACAGGTTCCCAGGACACTCCAACATGTCACAGAATAGTTGGGGTTGGAAGGGATTTCTGTAGTTCATCTGGTCCAATCCCCCTGCTCAAGTAGGGCAAACAAGAGTTGGTTGTCCAGGACCATGTCAAGGCAGCTTTTAAATATCTACAGGGATAGAGACTCCACATCCTCTCTGGGCACCCCACTCCAGTGCTTAGTCACACAGTAAAAAGCATTCCCTGATTTCAGAGGGAACCTCCTGTGTTTTAGTGTGTGTCCACTTGCCTCTGGTCCTGTCACTGGGCACCATTTAGAAGAGTCTGACTCCATCCTCTCTGCACCCCCTTCAGGCACTGGTACATACTGATACCCTCTCTCCTGGAGAGATGTAGTAATACACACCACAGCAACAGAAATATTGTCTCATACATAGGAATATTTATTTTTTTCCTTCTTAAAAATGTACAAAAAATAAAATAACTGTATTTACAGCTTATCAAACCCCTCTCCCAGTTGCAACACTATTAAGTTACATGAGCTATATTCTTAATATAAAAGCACACTATTTATACATTAAGTTTCCTTGTTTGCCAGAAAGACGGCTTGTCACAACCTTTGGCACAAACATTCTTGTTTGTATCTTGTCTCAATTAATAGGAAATGGAAGAGCATAAAAACATTTAATAAGCTTTACATTTTATAAGTCATAAGATACTCCTTTCCAGTTCCACTTCAATCAATATACAGCATCTCTGACAGCTAGAGAGTTTAGATTTTACTTGTTTGAATTAATTTACATTTAAACAATTCATAGAACGAAAGAGAAAAATATATAAGAAAGACATTTGATCTCTGAATTCCATTGACCAAAAACTTTGTGAGAGAGGACACACATGAAAAAACCCATTCTTGTCTTTGTACTTTACACTCAGTGTTAGAAATCCTCCAAAATGTCTTGATGGGATGATCATAGTACATCCACAAAACTTCACTCAAGGGATGCACTTTATTTTGGGAATACCAGCACCTGACTGTGAGAAAGAACTAGAATTTGAGAATTTGAATGGGATTTCATAATAAAACATCAAATGGACGGACAAAGTGCCAAGTCTGCAGCAGGAACCAAAATTAGAAGACTGTTCTCCTTTTGTACATCTCTAGAGTTTTTCAAAACATAACATCTACAGACACTGCATTTTCTTCATAGGGAAAATGCACTGAGCAGCAAGCCACTCTTCAGGCTGTACTAATTAAGATTCAAGATTGCTGTCTTGAAGAAGAGAAGGAAATGAGAATTTTGTTCCTTTAAATAAATAACCACAGCAGTTCCACAAAGAGACAAAAGGAGGCAAGACGGATATTCCTGTCCCCTGCTGAACAGTAGACAAATCTTACTTCCATTTAACTCATAATATTTGGAAGATCCAGCATTAATCTATATTTTTTTATCAAACAGAAGCAACATGCATATTTTAAACAATATACACGTAAGCAACTGTGTACTCCTCAGGATATCTGATCAAGCAGGGCACAAGGCAGCCACTGCTTCAGAAGTTTGTATTACTCACACCACTCTTGCCCCTTTCCCACCACTCTGATGGGCTGATTTGGACCAAAAGGTGAAGCCTGAGAGCTTGGAGCTTGCCACAACCAGCATCCAAGGTTCAGTGCTCCTCCAGCAGCTGATGCTACAACTACAACTGAAGTGGTGCAGCATGGATACTCAGTGCTTGTGAGGCACCTGCATCTGGAGCAGAGAAACAAAGTCCTCAGACCCTGGCAGATAAAGTAAAGGGTGATCATCCTTACCTAGCTCTAGCTGTTGTTCTAAAATAATCTTGCCACAAATCTAGGCACCTTCCTGATAACTTCACTGAGACCGTAAGAGGAACTAAAGGCAGGAGTATTAGCTTTCTACTATCAGGAATTTGCACACTTTAAGATGTATTTAAAATAGCTTTCAGTTAATCTTGGAAGCAACTTTCCTTTTCTGTACAGTGGCTGACTGAAGGCTCCTAAAATGACAATGGATAACTCCTTAAATCCCACTATTCCTGGAGCACTGCTCTTCTCACTGATCCTATACTGCTCCTCATGACAGGATGCTGCAGCACCCAACAGATCTCGGCTCATCTAGACCCAAATGTAAGACAAAACCATCCTATTAACCTGAGTGCTGGTGCTGCCAGGACTGCCTGTCCTTCTCTGTGATCCCTAAATTCTCACTGGCCTTTCTTAATGCAGCACATTGCAACCCAGGCCAGCCCCAAGCACTCCCTTGGACAGCAGGTTTGTTGGGGGCAGAACTGGGGCTCAACTCCTGCATAAATTTACTCCTTTGCTTCACCTGCAGCTTCTGCCCAGACATGGTGACCAGCTGCGAGATCCCAGATGATATTCTGAGGATTCCAAACACCAACAGAGAAATACAAGAACTGACAGTATTGCTTACCAGTCCTGTGTGCTGGTCCCAGTTCCTAATGCCTGCTGTACCAACTGTCCTCTTTTTTTCTTCAAGAAAAAATTATCTGGGATAAGTCAGCATAGACTTTTTATCTCAGTCTGAGCCAAGTAGAAACAAACAGAACCATCATAAATCTCTTGTATTCCCAGATTGTTTGCTCTTGAGCAGCATAGCAAGAGCATCTTTGCTGGAGTGCATTTTTATATAAAGTTAAGGAAATTACAACAGAACTCTGCATCAGAAGGGGAAAGAGTGCATGACAAAAGAAAAGGGCAGGAGAAAGACAGAATACACACTTTGCTTTACAGGCATATGTGAATTCTGGGTATGTTAGTGCTGATGCTACCAGCCTGAACCTTTTATAGTTTCTGCTCCCACAGAAACCTTGACATGTACTTAACATTTCTATTAAAGGAAGAGATTTTAATGGGATGCTACTGCTAATGAAGTTTAGAAAGTGTTCATGAACTTACAGGACAATTCATGCAGATATGGCCAAATTAGACTGGTCAGTTATCCCAGCTACTTTGCTTGAATGTAAATAGCTCCACACATGAGCCCTGTTAAATATGGCAGTGTTTCTTTCTGCCATTAACCACCAAATAATAAAGGTTGTGTGACTAAACAAGAAAAGGTTTTAGAAAGAAAAGAATAAACTCTAAAGGCTGCATGTAGGAAAGGATCCCACTTCTGTCTGTAATACAGAATCCATGTACAGTGGTAGAGAATAAATTTCAACTGAAACTCATGGAATTATATGCTAAGTGAGGAGCTCTTCACAACAGCCAGAGGAGCTAGAATGGAGAGAAAGAGATGCTGGGTTTGGATGTCATAGGGACATTCAGGCCTTGAACCCCTTTCCTGGTATGATTTTAGCCTGCACAACTTCATCTCTTCACAGAATTCATAAGGCAGGTGTGGAATTTGATGGAATAACCATGTAGTTCAACTTGGGTTCAGATGCAGCCCTTGAGAGAGAGACCAATCTCCACTCCTCAGTTGTGGGATACTCAGTCTCCAGTGGAAAAAATGTTCCAGTTTGATAAAATATTTACATCAAGCCCAGGCTTATACATCACCCAAGTGCCCTAGGAATCACAGCTGAATCATTCAATGGAGATACAAGAGCAAATACACTTAAAAGGAAGAGTCTGAAGTCCTGTTTCTTACAGTCTAGAGGAATGCTTTGATGCACAGGCTGCTGCAGAAAGAACCTTCCCACCACAGGTTTGAGAAAATACCACTTTAGGAGCCTCTGCTTCATCAAAGGAAGACAACCAGGAAGAAGTCCCTTTTGTACCTCTTGGCAAAGCAGGCAGCAGACACACAGTGTCTCTTGGATTTTGTTACAGCTGGATGGGAGACTCAGGTTCTACAGCTGGGACTTGGGCACCTAAGGTGGGCCCCATTATGCCAGAGCGTCCAAGACCCAGTAGCAGAGTCTGCTCTAATATTTCAATATACAATTGTGTGAGCAAGGATGGAGCATATTGAGTACAGATTCAGTTATCAGCTTCTCAGTACACACTCTTTAACAGATTGCAGCAATTTAATCCTCTAGGAAAGATTCTATGAAACCCTAACCCAAATACATACAAAAACATAGTGGCAGTAAACATGCCCACATACAGTAGTTAAAATATATTATTGCATATTATAAACATTATATACAAGGTTAAAATGGTTTCTTTACCATTTACTTACAAGTGACATTTGTAACTGAATGCCTTACTTACAAGTCCTCATTGCTACATGCTGAGAACTACCAGAGGTATTTGGCAAGACTATACAGGAGACAGAGATATGGATCAGTCTGAGCAAGTGAACTGTCAGCCACTTTGCCCATCTTTAGCACTGCAACAGATTTTTAGCAATGACAGAGACAACTACTGGTAAAGTGATTTATACCAGATTTCTGAAATTAGACCAGCATAGTTACTGAATGTGTTTTAGAATGAGCTTATCCACACTGAAGTGTGGATTAAAATGCTGCATTTCACATTTGCAGTGGGTCATCTGGTTACAAATCTGGGGGCTGGTAACTGCTTGTACACTAGAGAGTGAGGAACAATAAATAAGGGACCAGGTTACTGTGAATAGCCTTGTGCTTGACAAACCCAAGTCTATCTGCAGGGGCTGCAGATGTGCAGAATGGACAGTATTTTCAATGCAGTCTTGTAACAGTTTCTCTGATCAATGTCTGTCAAGTTTACGGGGAATCTGCTTTCCAAGAAGGATGAAATGCTGTGGTTCCTTACAAAATGGCTCTGCCTGAGGCTAGATCTCTGTCAGTGTGATCTTGAAGCCTTCAACCATGCTCTCCATGTTCAGGATGAATGTGTCCTCGTTGGAGTAGTGCTCAATAATGTTGTCATCCATGTTTACCAGGATGCTGGTGACAAAGGTAGAAATCAATGTTTTTATGTACCAGGACACTGAAAGGAAAAGCTATACACTGCCACATGCACTTGCTTCTCTACAACACAAAACCAGACTCCAGCACATGCCAGTACAGGCTCACCAGTAGGAATCACCAGCAAGATCTGCCCTGTAGTCCCTTGTAGTCTTTGGATTAGAGGCTGCTCCTCCAGAGCAGTTAAGGGACATGCCAGTGGTGGGATGTTTACACACTTAGGCTACCTACAGATGAGCTGCACTTCAGATCCCTGGCAGACCCAGCTAGCTGGTGCTTCCCAATGCCTGGTGGTGGCTCCCACAGGGACACATCTGTGCTACTCCTCAGAAACACCATGTGAGCTGCTGCACCTCTGTGGTGGGAGGGAAGCACAGGGAAGCAGTGGAATTTGTGCTTTGCACACAGCTCACAGACTTAGAACTCAGCTTAGATGCGAGACTATCAACAATGACTACACAATTGTGTAATTGTGTAATGCACAATTTCAAGTGTATATGAGTGCTTTCCTCTCTCTTTACCTCCAAGTGTTTCTTCTGTCACTTAGAAAGAAGCAAAACATGAGAAGTTTCACCTGTTTTCTCAAAAGCTAAAGAAATTCCCAGACAACAATGCCCTAAGCTAGCTACAGCTGAAAATAAATGACTGGTTTAAAATTATATTGCTACAATATTGTGGTTAAATAGAACTTTAAAAATAGTTGAAGTGGAGAGATTTAGTTTTATGGCAAGGAGCAGAAGCCTAGCTATTCTAAAAGTCCAGCTGTGATGTTCATGTCTAAATTTATTCAACTGAAATGCCTGCAGCAAACATTGCCTGTCTTTCAGAGTAAGACAGTGGCCTATTTCTCCCTAACACTGCAGGAAAACTCCACACTGCATTCACAGCAAAGGCAGCATCTCCCATGCTGGCTCTCCATGATGTTATTAAGCATATTGTCTACAAAACAGACTTTATCCACATATCTTATCCACAAACCCTTCTTTCACAGTAAGCTTAGGCATACTGGTCAGACAAAGATTGGAGATCCATGCTTCCTCTTTTGCCATCCCTTACAGTCTCCATAGACATGAAGATTTCAAGCACATGGGTTTGTCTCCTGAAAGAGTTTGTACTGCCCAGCATCATGAGGCCCCAGGTAAAACTGGGATCTGTGACTACTTCTAATGGATCCTGCAATAGATCCTTAGTTAGGTAACTAACTTACCCCTTTTTACTCTTCTTATAAAGTTTTGCAATCTTTTCAACTGGCAGCCCATATTTCTCAGAGATCTGAAATAATAAAAATAAAATATCACTAAAGATGAATGAGAAATATAAAAATATCACCTCTTACCTTACATAAGACATTAAAACAAAAACTCTGCAAACTTTGACAGGATAGCTATAGAGAAAAGTCTGTTACAACCATATCATGCTTTCATTTAAGGATGACTTGGGGAGCAAGAATCCTGAACAGCTTAATCAAAACCCACAATTGTCTCCATCCAGAAATTCAGATACTGTAGTTTTCATAGGGTGTGAGCCATCAGAACTGCCCCAGCATCTCCTAGTGCTCTGCTCAGAGTCAATGCTCTTCCCAGCTTCAGATTTTACCAAGGAATTTCAATCTGATCTTTCTGTTGTTTCTTAATCTGATTTTTTGGGCTCATGGAAGCAAAGGCTTCTCCCACCAGGCAGAAGGCAGACACATGGCAACCCAACAGGAGCTGATGGACCGATGGAATAACAAAAACATACACATTTCTATTTCTCAAAGACATTTCAAGGTTTATTAAGCTAACAGGACTCTCCATGGTGGTACTTCTGTCTGAAAAGTGTCTTCAAGGTACCTTTAATTGTGGGAAGGCTACCAACATCAAACACAAAGAACTAAGAAGCTTCTGTATTGTTGGGAAGGTGACTCAGTCTAGTTACTACAGTAGCAAAATTAAACCCTGTTTGATTCACAAAACCCCATCTGAGTGTAACAGATAACGAGATGTCACAGAGAAGTGTGTTATCAAGGTAAAGGACTTGTAAAATAAACTTCTTACTAAAGCAACTACAACAATAAAGCAGAAACTACACTAAAACTTTAGAAGGCAGAACAACTTAGCTGACAAATTACCCATGCCAACAAATACTTCACATGGATGCTTTGGCATTGCTTTGCAGCAGTGTACTAGTAACTTTTTGGGATGTCTATTCTGCAGTGAGTCTGGGGTGTGCTTATGAAGATGGTGTCCCTGGGCCCTTCATCTGAGCCAGGTTTGCTTTCCAAATAATGATTCTTCTTTGAGGGAACAGGTCTCACAGTTCACATTTTAGAAGAGGATTGTCCCAAAAAGCAAAATAGTTACAGAAAAATGACTTTTTTTTTCTGCCAGTGATTAATGTTCTGTGGTGTTCTACTGCCAAGCAAAGTAAGTTTACAGCTCTTCCCAAGTGAAATGAAGTTGCAGCTAAATAGCTGACTACTTATCTTTTGCATTAGAGAACTGAAATGCATAATTAAAAATCCATTTAAGACTGGCAAACATCAGGCACTGTAAAATCCTTTCTTTGTGTTGGCATTCAGAGTTCTGTTGAGAAAAGGTATTTTAGGGAAGTACATTAAAACAATTATCACAAAAGAGAAAATGGAATGGATAAACTCAGCACTGAGGACAGATTCAAAGAGCCACAGGTTGAACACCAAGCAGGGCTCCCATCCAGACAGCCAAGATTTTCTGAAAGAGAGAATTAATTAGCCTATACTTGTCTACAGCACCTATAATAGTATAATTGTCATCGTAGCCCAGATGCAATTTTGTACTTAAAAACTACCCCTAATAATGCACAAGGCTATCAGCTTGACTGGCATTCTATAGCAGAACTCCAAGATTCTGAAGAACCAATAAAGTTTCTCATACACTGAAAACAGTGTCCTCTGACTATTAGCATACATCAGTGGCTAACAGAAAGGGGAATAACTGATGGGGTACAATAGACCCATCCACTCCCTAAGTTTTCCACCGAGCAGAGAACAAAATACAAACTGAATTTGGGTGATATTTGCTGCTTCAGTTTTGCTTGCACCAGCATGTTTCGCTGTTCATTTACTCTTTATTATCCTCTGGCTTTGCTTATCATGAACAGAATGACATCAGATAAACAATCTGGTGTTGAATTTTTGTATCTGTGCTTCTGTTGTACCCCTAACTTTAGGTTTTCATGTAAAGCAATAATAAAAATGGATCAATTTTATCAGACATTTGAAAAAAATCCTTTGTAACAGGCATTGGAGAAAAACTGGCAACCCAAAACTGCAGAAAGTGTCACAAGTGTGTGAACACGAGGAAATGATCTCCCTCTCTGGGTTGTTAAGTCTGAAGCCCAGAGATATTGTAAAGACCAGCACTTGAAGACACTTTTCACTGACTCCATGCAAATAAACAAGCCGAGCAAAACATTTCTTGCCAAGGAGGCTTAATAGCAGCTAATATACAGCATTCTGCACATTCCAGCATAAATCTTCCCTAGGATATTTGGCATACCTAACACTCATGCATTCCAAATGTTGCTCAAAGTAGTTTGGGACTCTGGGACACCACTTCCTACATAAACTATGAGAGGCTGGGCTGAGAAAGCCTTGCCTGTCACACTGCCTATGACAGGTGTAGGATTTATATAACATGCAGGGATTACTGAGCTTTGCAAAAGACTTCCAGCTGACTGAATAAGCACATTTCTCAGGAACTCCTGGGATTCAATCAATTATACCAAACAGAAAACTGTGGAAGCAAGGCTTAAAGTGGGGGCATGGGAGAGCCTCCCCCTCAAAGTCTCTAGTACAAATGTGCTAAGTCCTGATGCAGAATTGGAGAAAGCATAGGGCAAGCATCTGCTAGGGCATCTCACTTAACACTCTCTTCTCAGAGTGTTTGCTGCCAGCACAGGAGGACCACCACCTACTGCCAACTTCCATACAAAACTACAGGATTTCTCACCTGAACCCAAGCAGGCTACATTAAATTTTAAAAAGGTGTCTTTATTTGGAGCAGTATTTTTCCTTATCATCTCAATTTTCCATTTGTCAATCTTCTGAGCAGAAATTTATTTCTGCTAGGATGCCTGAAGCAGTGCAACAGCCTACTGAGTAGCACTGAAATACCTGTCTGGGTGTCCCTTTGGGCTGCAGTCCCCTGGCATGGCAAGTTTGTCTGATTGCACAAGCCACCAGAAATGCTCTCTGCTGGAGTCAGGAAACCAGAAAGGGCAATATCTGGGTGGGTCATGGCATGTAGGAAAACACTTTGCCAGCTTATTTCTATTAAATAATCTGTCTGTTGCCCTACACTGGCTGGAAGATCACATACATATTGGCAGGTATCTAATAGTCTAAGCTAGATCTACTGAACTCAGCTGTTAGCTTTTAATTATTGAAAGATTTTGGGAGATGCTTGAATTTCCCAGTTTGAACTGCCTTCTGTAATTTGAATAAATATGCAATTTTGCACAATGTAAGACTGAGGTACCTACTGAGATCCACAGTTATCCTGACTTTGGATCAGGCTGAAATCAGGATGTAGAGCTGGTCAGTCACACGTATAAGTGATGTTTTGCTATTTTCACTTGATCTAGACTGATTAGCAAAAACCAAACATCTGAGTCGCTTCCTGAGACATGCTGCATTTCTGAAACCCAAAACCTCTAGATATTTGCCAAAAGAAAGATATCTGAAAAGGAATCTAATTGTTAATTTGGAATGGGGGTATATGTGAGAATAAAATAAACATAGGATCTGAGAAAACCATATCATTAATAACAGAAAGTTAGGGGAGAAGTCAAAGATCAGGAATAATGACTAACAAAAAGAAAAAAGAGTAAAATCCATAAACAGAGAAGGAGAGTATGGCTGAGGATCACTGGAGCTCCCTTTCAGATCTGGGGCTCTGTAATACTCAGAGGCTCAGTTCCTAAATTCTTAATACTGAGAAGAGAATGACGCATTTAGGATATGCACAATTACAAAATTACATGATTTGCTGCAATGACTGTAGAGACAATATTTAAGAATATGCAGTTTGACAGCTTTTTGGCATTGTTTTATCCACAATATCCTACCAAAGAGAATTCAAATTTTCTGAATGTGTTCCTTCCAGTGAACTGGGACATTTTACAACAGATCAGATTTCTCTGGTGCCGAAAACATGCCAGTGAGTCAGCAGCTGCACTGACTGAGGCATGCAGAAACCCTTCCTGCTTCTGCACCAGCTTTGTTTTTGTTACATGGTGGCTGGAGAACAGGCATGGAGAGGCACAGACTACTAGAGATAAAATATTCATACTAGCTTGAACAGATTATAACATACTTTTAACTTCCATACAAAGACAAGATGAAATCGTGTTGCAGCTTACCATGAATCAAACTGCTGCCTCTTCAAGCAAAGCCTGGTTTTTGTTATCCATGTGCTCTGCCTGACAGCTGAGCTGCAGTCACAGCTAACAAACAGCATCAGCAGAAGCATGGTTAGGACATCCTTAGTGTGCCACTGACTCTCCTCAGAGATACCCCCATCTAAATAGGTGCTTTAAGCAACTTCACTAACCCACAAATCTTCTTCTGCCTTCTGCTACTGGCCAAATATTGACCAAATAACTCAATCTTTACTTCATTAAAAGTGTTCAGTAAATGTAACAAGATACTGTGATGGTTTTTAGAGAGTATAAATATACACACTTCTAGCACTTGGCTGAGTTCTCTAGGGGCACTTTCATCCATTTCCGTCTTCTCCCCTACAAGTAAACAAGGCTGGAAATCAACTCAGCATCCCCCATGTCAATCTCACATTCCTCCACTGAAGCAGTGAGACACATGATTATTTCTTAACTCTTCCCTTCCCAAATTTCATGAGCCATCAGCTCATATAAACAAGATTAAACATGGAAACAGCAACTCTTATGATGACAGCTAATGGGTAACAAGCAAAAACTCAACTCAAAGAAGCAGCAAAGAGGCAAGTGGTAGGTAGGTCACACTGTAAGTGAGGACTAGAGAAGGAATTTGAGACAACATATGAATGACAAGTCTGCACTGGCTCAGCACCTGCCTCTTACATGCTGAACAAAGGCCACATGAAATTCCCACAGAAACACTGCATCCTTGGGCCTCTTCTTGGAAACCAGGCTGGGAATGCACTGACAAGCATTACAGAAAAAGATTCAACAGGCTCTGAACCATCAGTTCAGAAAGAAGCATTTCAGAAAATGAAGCCTGCACCTCTCTCCTTCCCTGACACTGGTTAACTACTGCAATTCCTCAAAGCTCAGGTCTCCAATAATCAGCTCTGTGATGCTGTTTAAATCCAGTAACCTACTGGTAACACTGAATTAGGAAAATGCCAGCATTTCAGGGTTCCAGAAAGCTTTAAGAAATGCTTTAAATGCGCTTGAGAATAACTTCATCTTTATATAGTGGTTTATCTCAATAATACATGGAAAGCCTCAAGATTTTTCTTGCCAAGAAAGACAAACAATATAAGGACATTAGATACTTACAGCTTCCATTAGCCCCTTGACCGTGGGTGATTTCAGCATCAAAGCATCAAACACCTCATCTGTCTCCTTCCTCACATACAAAAGCACTGAAATAGGGAAAAAAAATCAAACTTGGAGCAGGTTCAGTCAATTGCACAGATGAAATACCCCACACTGAATAGAAAAACAAATATTAATCCATGACAGATAAAATGAAGCACTGAAGATGGTTTGCACTTAAAAAGATGTACCTTTAATATCATCAGTGATCTAGACATGGACAATACATTGGAGTTGCACTGAAAATACAGTATTGAAAATTTAATCTAATGTGAAGAATCTCTATCTTCCAGGATCTAAATCTCCATTTACAGAAAGAAGCTAAAAAGCTCTGGGGCCTTTTCCCTTGGTTATAGGACAAAACACACAATCTAGGTCTTCTTAAACCTCTGAATTGGCTTGTACCTCTCCAGGTTTCATCTAAAAGGCTTGGAAAGGACATTCAAAAAAGGCAAGTCTGTGTTGCCTTTAGTTGTGCTTTTGAGAGCAAAATCAAAGAAAAGGTAAAGAAATAGTTGTCTCTGACATTACCATAGAGATGCCTGCAAATGGCCCGACCAGTATGAAAATAAACACTGGGAAAAAGGAGCTCAAAGTAATTTGAGACTTTACAGGGGAGACATTCAAGAGCACAGCTGGCAGGCAGGCATTTACCAGTGTGCCCACCTGCTTAGGTACCCAAATGCCATTTTCCTCTTCCTCCCTCAGATGTTAGCTGCTAGCTGTCCACAGGCACAGTGCCGTGCCCTCTTTAGCTTTTGTTTTCTTCACACTTGTCAGGTAAATAGAGGAACCTTGCTATAACATGGCAGAAGCAAAGCAGACAGGTACAAAGCATAGAAGCATAGACACTAGAAAAGTATTTTAGGCATCATCTCACATGACTGATAAGTAACAGGTTGAATAAGATGTTCTGCAATATATTTTGTTTCCTAAATGAACTGCCTTTTCAAATAACATTACTGCACGTGAGGTACAAACACACATCCACTGTCATGTCTGTGGAACAAATTACATTGGTAACCCATTTTTTTGGAGGGGGCAGGTAGACAGAAAAGGGCATCTTTTGAAACTACAAATTCTCATGGTCCAAGAGATATCTTCACCACATAACTCAATAGATGACACGCAGATGAACCAAAAAATATGATGGTATTTTTCACATAAAAGTAATTGTGTAAAGTTAATTCTCAGGCTAAGACTCTAGCAGGATGGACTCAGGCCCATTTGTGGAGAATTGTAGCTTCTTTGCCCAAGTTTTGAAATGACTGGAAAAAAAATAATGGGTAGTTCAGTTCCCTCACTGGGCCTACAAACCAAACATGCAGGACAATGTTGGTTTTTTTTGCATCTTTAATTCAGAAATATAAGCCACTAAACTGCAACCACAGCATGCAGAGCCACATCCTTTTCACCTATATTTTGGCACCTCTTTGGAGCCTGGCCTGAGAACATCGTTTTAATGGATTTAGAAGCAGAGACAACTTTGGGTCACAACTTAAACTGTCAAAACATAAAAGAAAAATAATTCCACACCAGCAGTTAAATTTTACCATGCCTGATATGCTTAATCACATGAACAAGCTGTCACTCAATGGACTAATTTTACCAGTACTAATACATATAATAATTTAGTAAACCTTTTCCTTGTGACTAGAGGGTTGCCCTGTAACACCTGGCTTTACAAACATCTGGAGCTCTGCCAGCCTTAACAATTACAAATATATCTGAAAGGAGAAAAACAAATCACTTGGTCCAAGGTTAAACATGACACAATCCTGGTGCTGAGCTTTACATCTCTGTTGTGCTTGGTGTGCCAAGCAACATTATACACAGGGAGAGACAGGATTAGTAAGCACATGGGGGTTGTTAGGCTTTCCTTTACCCTGACAGGTGTGAAACTCCTGGCTTTGATTCAGTAGAGCACTCTTCCACAAATGACTTGTGGTGACAGTGATGCCTTAGGAAGTTCCTGTCTCATCCCTACCCTTAGACCCTCTTATTCTGGCTCGTCTCAACAAATTTTCCTGGATGAAAAACTCTGTCAAAGAGCAGATGTGAGTGAAAAAACAACCCCTTTTTTGAGTTATTCTTCAGACAGATCAGATCCCTGCCTCAATGTACAATGCAGCCCCACAAGCCTTCATGCTGGCAGAGCAGCAGAGAGACAGCCACAGTGGGAGGCACAGCCAGAGGGGAGGGAAAAGGGCTGCAAAGGCTCCACTGGGCTCAACAGCAGCATTGCCACTGAATGACTGTGACCATGTAACACAATTCATGTCCTCTGATCCTACTGTCATCACATTCACAGCATCTAGATGGACTCAATCTAACAGTACAAATTACAAGATTTGGAGGGGAACAGGGAGGAAATCTTGTACAAGGTAATGAGCTATTTTTGCCTGAAAGCTACAAGATAAATTCAAATTTGTCTGATCTACTCCCTGGTCTTAGTCCTTAACTTTCTTGCCAGCACTGAAATCCACTGCAGACCTTAACATTCTTTAGATGTTAAAAAGAATTGCAAAAGATGGGGGAAGATAAATTTAGTCTTTAGTTACTTAAGAAATAGCCCCAACACACCAAATTGCTGAGGGGCAAAGGGATGTTGTTGCACCAGCGAGACTTTTAGAAGCCAGGCCACTGAACTGAGGATTTATGTGTGAATGCAGAAGAACAATGTTAGATACCTCTTTTAAATTGTTAACAACATACATGAGGAAAAATGAAACTAAGGACACAATGAGTCAGTAAGACCTGGGGCATTAGGAAGGTCTGAGCCTGGGCACTACCAGTGCTGTGACTGGCACCCTATGAACAATGACTACAGTCTCTGTCAAGTAGTCTCTGGATAAAGATGTGGTACATCTTAGTCAAGGAAAGAAGGGCTGGTAGCTGTAATTTAGCTTTCCTTTCTCACATTTGGAGTTTTTGTTATTGCCCAGGCACAATTCTCTTGGCTGGCTCTCAACATCCTGATTGCTATGAACCCAAAATGTTTCAGAGTAGTTCAACGTAACTTTCCTAAAAGGCAAAAGCTACCCAAAAAAATTACTTTCTTGAAACTGAGAACTACAGGACTGGAAATCCACCTGTTCTATAATTCAGCTGCTGGATTTATAATTAACAGCAAACTCCCTATGAAATCTGAAAGGGAAAGTGAATTGAAAACTTACTGAGAACTCAAAACAGGAAAAAGCCAAGTCTAGCCAAGTAACTAGCTGTGATGCACATTTGGTACAGATTAACATACTTCACATTTCTGTGTTGGGCACCCGGACTTCCCCTAGAGGTCAAGGAGATGAAAGAATAATTCAAAAAGAGGCAGCTACCTGAGTGAGAATATGATCAGCATTTGCAAATCCCTTCAGACCTGTTCTCTTGAAGGCTGCCCCCTTAATATTTTTACTTCTACCAGAGAGTGTTACAAGTAAGTCCAGAAGGCAGGGGTGAGGTCACACACTTCCACTTCAGTCTTCAGTGGAGCTTGGACACCTCACTGGCTGCTATTTACCTGCACTGCTCTCCTAATAAGACACTTTGGGATTACATTGCTTTTAATGTATATTTTAATGTCTATTTTCACATAACAGACCTGCTCCCTCTCAAACATTACACTTGTGCCCCATCTACACCTGCTCTCTAGGAGTTCTTGATTCTGCTGTACCAAACAAACCTTGAGAAAAGAAGCTTCTAATATGGCAATGCTGGGGGAAAAAAAAACCCAAATATTTTAATACCAGTGAATCCTCTGGCAAAGACAGAGTTATCACATGGGTAGACTCAGCTGAGCTGCACTCCACCAGCACGATCCCAGATGCAAGGTTCCGGATGGCAGGAAGTTCACCAGGGCAAAAGCCACACTGGAAAAGCCTTGGCCTCCAGCCAGCATAGTCCAAGATGAGAGAAACACTGAACAGGAAGGGGATGTGAAGAGAGAATCCTCCAGCTTCTCTGCTTCTGTGCCTCTCCTGGATTTAATCATTTTACATAGCTTTGCCACCAGCTAAATTTTCTTTCTTTCTAATCTTACCCTTGAAATACCTGCAAGTCCTGAATGATGTCAAAACAACTAACCACAGCAAAGGACAGGAATAATCAAAGCAAACCAATAGCTCCTTGCAGACAGTTTCCTAGGCTTTCAGCTGGGAAACCCAGGTGAAACTCTATGAAAATGACAGTTTTTTATATAGCCTTCACGACTATCACATTCTGCTTGATAGAGCCCTGATAATGTGAATTTGGCCAATGTCTTGAGTCAACCAAATTCAAGTCCATGGTCAGTGCTAACCTCACATAATTAATTTAAGATTTAATTAAAAGAATCATATGTTCACATTTATTTCAAGAAGGTATCAGTCTCCATCCTATAATCTTCTATGCTTCCCCTGGTTCAAGGAGACCACCCTAACCAACAGAGAAACTTGGCAAATGCGGTCTTGTGGGAAGTCATTTCTATAAAGCTCTGCTGCTACTGTAATAATACCCACCTGGGCAGTAAAAACAGTTAAGGGAAACAAACCCTTAAACAATTCAGTTACATCTGCTGGAAGATGTCTCTGCATGTTTTATATTTCTAATAAGGTAGGAAATTTCTGATTTTATTCCACCCAATCTAAGTGTGCAGTCAGCAGAAGCTCGCCTGTTAAGGTCTCTATATTTGACCCAATGCATCTTGCATATTTGCTTGTGATCCCAGACAGAACAGAACAGATGAGCAAAAGTTAAAAACAGACCATCACAGATTTGCTACTAGAACTTTCATAAACTTTGTAGCTTGGCCAAGAACCAAGAAACTTTCTAAGTTTTTTCTATACACTTGTGTCCTGATCCCTTCTTGAGAAAGCACAGTCCTTTTTTTTTTTCTTAAGTAATTTTTAGCATTTGTTAAAATGCCTCCTTATAGACTGCAGATGCAAAGATCTCCTCTCCCATCTACCCATATTTGCACTGGCATCCTACAACTCAACTGACTTTGTCCAAACCACACCTGCCCTTCCCAGTTTGAGGGTTTGAGTCCCACAGAACGATTTTTAACTGCTAAGAATTGATTGTTACCTCTTTTCAGACCTTCTTCTTTGATTTGTTTCAAAGGGGAAGGACCAAACTCTTCCTCCACAGGCCGGAACATCCTTTTGACCAGGACACTGCTACTAAAATACACAAAACAAGGACCATGTCACAGTAAAACTGTGCTCACAGCAGAAGAGAAGACAACAGCAACAGTCATGACTCACTTTGTACTCTGGCAGAAACACCCACTAGATACTCATGTAGCACCAAAAGCAGAAACTGCAAGGATATAGCTTTTGATGCTTATCTGAACTATCCAGGCCTCTTAAATTGCCGAGACTGACTGGCTGGGACAGGTGACAGGAAAATATGTTCCAATGTTACACACTCATTTGAAAAACCCCAAAGGCCCTTAACTGTTTAAATATTGAGGGAAGGGGGGTGGTTATTGCTTGATGCAATAAACCCCTTTGTTTCTCAAATTCCACTGTAGGCCTTATGAAGAGCATCAGTTTCAAAAAGAAATAAAAAAGGCCTCATGTTTTCAAGTCAGTGCTGACTGCAGGTGCTTGGCCAGTCCCTACTACAGGTCACTTTTTGCAGATTTATGGGAGCTGTTAAGTTACTCCAGAATCTCAGACTTGAGGGTGTTCACTTGGGGATTCAAGCAACTTACAAAAGTATGGGGCTGGCACACAATGTGGCAATGTGGGCTGAAGTTCAGCAGCCCTTATTTCATGGCACCTCTAACTATTAGAGGGACTTTCATCAATTCTTCCAGTCCCTCCAAAGTCAGATAGGGAGTGTTCCCATTTCCAACCTTTGTCCTTCCCAGGTTCTCTCTTCTCTTTCTGCCTTTCTCTTCTGGCACTTGTCTATTCTCTCTGCAGTTCCTGTATTTGTTGCATACACATGTGTGCACTGCTAAACAGCTTTCAGGAATGCAGTGAAGTTCGGTGCTTCAATAAAAAATTCCCAGTTTTTAAGTTGAGAACCCTCATGCTTACATAGATGGCATTTCATTATCAAATATATTGTCCTCTCCCTGTATCAAAACTTAGGGCTCTTTTACTTGGAAATGTATTAAAATACAGACATAAAAAGCAAACAGTTTACATGGGAGAAATGAGGGAAGGGGGAGAAAGGGGTCCGTTTTATCTGATTTCGTATTTTGTATCAACTTTCTATGAGTTTAAAATGTTAACTGCAAAGCTTGTGAAACAATAAATATCTTACCCTTCTCTCTCGTCATCTGTATTATAGTAAACCTAGAAGGATGGAAATAAAAATAAATTATTCCCAAAACTCAGACACTTGCTTAACAGAATAACTTCAAAAGGGAGAAAAGACAAGTGTTTTGCAGTTTGTCATATGTTAAAAATCCTTTTCCTCCTGTAAAACACAAACACCTTTAGTTCTAACTGTTATCTGGAAGAAGTGTGGCTTTGAGAAACTGCTGTTGAATATAATCTACTGGAAATATATCAAAGTTTATTTGAGAGACATTACCCTCTTCCCTGCTTTATATAATTTTCCCAATTATTTTACAATCCTCTAAATCAGATTGTTACTCACCTAAATAACCCCTAATACAGTTTAAGCCACAACACTCAAAAGCTTTTGTATGTATTTAATACTGTCTGAAAAGCTAATTAAACTATAAAGAACAAGATTAAACTACAGGCCTAATGGAAATACAATTACTAAAGGTACAGCTGAACATTTTTTGCACAGGCTGTGGGCAGAAGCCCAAGTCCAGGTTTGTGTAAATCTGCGTAGCTCAGAGTCACCAGGACCGAATTTACAACAGCAGCAAATGCAGCTGACAGTAGCAGGGGAGGTATAAAATCACAGTCTCTTGTCCAACACTTTACAGAACAGTCAGCCAAACTCCTCACAATGTGCCCACACTGCAGGTCTGCACCAACAAGTGCAGCAGCCCTGCAGCTGCTGAGCTGGGCAGGGTAGGGTAGGGCAAGCCACCCCAGACAGGTCTCCAGCACTGGCTCAGAGCACTCAGAGCACACTTGGCTCTCACTGGGAGCCTTCACTTCTGAAACTGTGCAATGAAAATAGCTCAGAGGTGTGTGTGTGCAAAGCTGAGGGCCGTAACCTATGAGTTACAGCAATAAAAGACATGGCTGAATATTGCCTAAGAGCTAGGAAATGGGGATATCTTCCAGTTAGTTTAGAAAATTATTTACAGGATTATATATACTAAGGAATGTTTCCACCATCTCCTGTTTTGAAACAAATCCCCATTTTGGTTTGAAAGCCATGAGGACAGAAGGTACCCGACACTGATATGTGAGTGGGCATCTTTCCAACTTGGGAGAGTAAGCCTGTGACAGCTGTGATTAAACATCTGTGCTCTTTGTGCTTTGCTCAACCACAATTCTCACTGCTTCAAAATTGACAATTCCAACACTCAGTTTCATTTAATCTTTGTCATTTTAGTATTTTCCAGCAAGATGCATAATAAATTTCCTCATCAACTATTTGTCTTAATAAACACATGCATAACTGTCTCATTCTGCTCCCTGAGATGTTAATAAATAACATGTTCATAGTAAAAAAGTTGTCAGAGCTGACCCTCCAGTTCAGGTTTTCAACTTCCCAACAGGTGATAAAATAGAAAAGAGCCAAGTTAGGAAAGACTTCCTTATGTTTACTAATGATAATAACTACCAATACTGAGTATTTAACATTAGTATGATGGAGTTTTACTTGGAAGGGTGAATTTTTTTTTTTCAAGGAATTTCCAGATCTCTAGGTGATGCCGACAGAAAATGGGTAGTGGTGTTTAGTGACCCTGCTCTTGATCTTTCTACATGGGTTTGAGCTTGGTCTTTGTTTTCAGCTGTGACAAGGAGGAGGATCTCTGCTACCACAAGGTGGCACTTCATTTCACCAAGCCAAAGAGTGCACTCAAAACCAGATTGTGTTTCAGTCACAAATCAACCTTATACTTGAAAGCAAAAGAATGACAGAACTGTAACAAAACCAAACTCATCAGTTGTCAAAAAAGTATAAACTCCTCTGCACCCAGAACTCAGAAAGGTACTTGCCTCTTGTAAGCTCCTCTATAAGTGATGTGCCAAAACTGCATTTACCAAAATGAGAGCTGAAACAAGTGGACCCCAGGAACAGTTATTTACTTCCCTAAAACCTGTCCCAGAGCACAGGTAGCCAGGTGGCAAGTGGGCACCTGCTCATCTCATTATTTCCTACCTGTCCAGTTCTTTGTAGGTTTCCAAAGTGAACATCTGGTATGAAGAGAACGGGCTGGGAATCCAGGTCAGCCATTGTTTTGAAGAAGGTGATATCACTCTTTTTCTGCAGAGGGAGTGCACTCAACTTCCCTTCAGCTGCTAGGTGGATCACAAAGCACAGAGTTGTGAAGGGAGGCATGTTAAGCATGACTTAGCCCCAGACCAGAAAGGCCCATTTCACTCACCATTATTACATGAGGCTTGGGATGCCTGGCCTTTGCCTTTCTTCCTGTTCTGCTTTCTCTCTTCATCTCGGATTTTCCTTTCTGCTCCCTGATGCAAGAAAGACAACAAACAGAATTAGCCAAAGAGGAACCACCATGAGCTTTGTACTCTGCAATGCCTGCAACTACAGCATCAGACACACAGACATGCTAAAAGAGAAACTGGTTATTTCATTGAAGACAGATCTGTCCAGTCTGTTGGGAAGGTTTTGCATGGATCACGTGTGCCTGAGACTCAGCTGGCACATCCAGTAGCTCCCAGGGCTGCAGACAGCAAGGGGAACATATCCACATGTTGGTTTGGAGGAGCCAGGACAGGCAGTGTGCAGTCTGTAGCAGGACTGATGCCAGCACAGCTTGTACAAAGAGCATCCCAAGCCCAGTGACTCTACAATGGACAGAGTGATCAGGCCAAATATTTTGTGTATGTAATGGCATAAAACACCTGCAGGATTGCTATCATTTTACATAATGTCTGTGCTGAGGTTGTCCCTAAACTCTCCTCCACCCACTTTGCCTGGGGGTGGCATTGCTCCACTGTAGCCAGCTGTGCAGAGCTTTGAGAACTGACAGTCCAAAAAGGCTGTGCTGACAGCTTGCCAACATTGCAAGGGTTCTTACAGAAAAATACAGGCATTTCAAACTGGGAGAAGCTCTCCAGAAATAGGAAAGCAATGTAGCACTGCCCTATTAGGTACCAGGAACTCCTGGGAAGTTGCAGGCTTCTGTTATGTAAATACACTCTCAACAAGTTTCAAAAATAAAACTTGTTATTGACATAAAAAGCAGCAACACCTCCTTTGAAGTTCTCCTAATTTACTTTATAAATAATACCTATCACATTGTGAAGGGTAATGAAGATCCATATGCTCCCAGACAGTTGGCATGCAAGATTACAGAATTTTTTTCCAAATTAAAATTAGAAGTTTCTTGAATAGAAAGGGAGAGGAGGGAGGTAAGGAAAGCAAAAAACACCCACTCAAGATGGCAAAATTCACACATGAGTCAATGAACCAAGTTTAGAAAGAGTGCAAGGAAAGATGTACTCCTGGCTGTGATCTATCAGTAGATTTCCAGAGGCTGAAAGAGCTGGAGGAAGAAATAGCTCTTTAGGAAAACATGAATGTGTCAAACAGAAACACTGCCTCCAGACCACGTCCCAGTCCAGTTGTCACTCACCAACCCCAACCGCACAAGCCAAGGGATTCAGAGTTGTGCACTTATCAAAATTGTTTCTAGAGGTACATTTGTAACCTTTAAAGCCACCTGTTCTTTCTAAGAAAGGAGCAAAAATACACATCCCAGCCACTGTTCAGCAAAAAGCACATCCTGAGAAACCTGTGCTGCACAAAGGGCTCTGCCAGGTGGCCACAGCCACACCTATCACTCGGTGCTGCCACTCTGCTGCTCACAGGAAACAGGATGAACCATCAAAGTACTTCATACACAGCACCAAGTGTGAGTTTTCTCTCAGGAAAGCAGAAACTGAGGAGGACTCTGCCTTTTATACATAATAAAAAATATATACTTTACTGATTTTCTGTAATATTCTTTGTAACCATGAACTCAGCGACACTTTACAGCTTTCTCTTCAGTCATTCATTCAAGGCAACAGACCCCAAGATCTCTGGGGGGCAGGCAATCCCTGGGCTGGGCAGTCATTCCCATCTACCAGTGTTTATTTGTGCCACAGCCACTTCACAAATGTGGCAACTGCAATACCCACAAAACTACCTACCAGCCCTTTTGAGCTTGGAGCAGCCCACATGGCAGGGCCAGCCCAGCCTACAGAATGGATGTCATAGTCACAGGGATGAGACCACAAAGTGATTTTTGCATACTGGAGCATTTCTGCTGCATAGTCTTGACAGCTGAGCCATCTGACATATACCTAATAAACCACAGTTTGCACATCTCTTCTAGAAATTACCCTTCTACTGGGGACTATAAACTATGCTGCGATCAGTGAAATAATGAAATGAGTTCTTAATTTTTTCATTGATATCTGAGCTTTGTATAAATGCAAGGGGTACTTCTGCTACTAATTATTAACAAAATGAAGCCTACGAATTTCAGCTGATTCAAAGTATTTTCTTCCTAATCCTTCAACTCATTTAAACTTAAGTCTTGCACCACTCTGATGCTCATGTGTACTCTTGCTTCTAGTTCCAGGCTAAAGCATTCCACATCTCATTGGGCAGGCACATATACATAGGCTGATGTCTGTGTGCCTGCCCAATGAGATGTGGAATGCTTTAGCCTGGAAATAGAAGCCCTCTCCAAAGCTGAAGATTAATAGGCAATTAGAGTTGCTAAATACTCTATGATAGTCCATTTTCTCTATGATGATCCACACCAAAAACAAGGACATGAGAACTGCACATATTCCAAAGAACATGTATTTTTCAGGTTAAACAAAACTGGATTAATTTATTCTAATTTGGATCAATGTTATGGTATTTGCCAAGTCAAGTTCTGCTTCTTTTCAGCAAAGATAATGACATATAGAAAATCAAGTAGCTCTGAAGTCCCAGTTCTTTCATACACAGTGGCTAAAGCATTGTGCAATATATAAATATAAACAGGCCTGGTAGCAAGTTTCCCTGACAACCTACTTAAGGAATAAAAATTAGATAAACTTATAATGCAGCATCAGTGATCTGCACTGATGACTGCAAGGCAGAGAATTAGCACTGACAAAACAAGATGTGGACTGTAACAAATGCTTTGAAGATTGCCTACTGAAAAACAAACATGGGCAAAAGATTGGATGACAAATAGGGAGTATGGTAAAGTTAAATTTGTTAAGTAACATTTACAGCCTTTGCAACATTTATCTCCATATATTTATGTCACAAAGCACATACTGGATGCGAGTTGGTGTTGCTCTCTAGTTTATATGTGAACTAATATTAAAATGAAGGAATTGCCAGAATAAATACTAACTTATATATATATAATATGTACCACTTAGCTAAATGCAGATTTATTTCTTCAAAGATAACTCTTTCCATAACAGCTACGCTGTGTTGCAGCTACAAGACATTAATTTGTCAGTGAATGTTCTTAAAAACTGGACACCTCCACCTGTGATTTATCTACGTGAATATACAAATACACCCACTGGTTTTAAAGAGGCACCACCACTACAGAAAGAAACATTTTTAATAACACCTCAGACACAGAAACCTTTTTTTCTTCCATGTTGCAGAGTGAGAAACATTTCACACTTAGGGAGGAGGAATTTACTGTGCAGTTCCACTAGGCCAGGTGATTGTAATAAATCAGGTACTTTTGTCATCAGCTTCTCTTTGAGGCTGTCAGATTGGGGCATAACAGAGCAGTTCACACTTTCAGAATATATAAAGATCATGATATGATTGCTGAGTGGCTTTTTTTATGTTCCTGTAGTACCTCTTCAATTCATCAGGACAAGGAGGTAGGCAATAAATAACAGTCACAGCTTCATGGCCTTTCCCAAGGAGGCAGCAAGCTTTGTCCATGTCACTGAGGGGAGAGCCACAGGCTAGCAAGAAAAACTGAACCATTTAGCACTACCTTAACCAGAGCCAGGGGTTTATTTTGACATCTTGAAAAGATGAGGATACCCAGCCACACCAACTACCTTCCTCTGAGCACGTTGAATTCTCCCAGTGCCACCAGCAAGTGGAAATTCTCCAAACATTTATTTACTTACAAAAGCCCAGTGACAAATGGATGTTGGTAAAGATCTGGCAACGTAAGTTTGGGGAGAAGGAAGAATTTGTCTCTTACCAAGTGCCAATTAGCACAAACTGTCATATGCATTGACCTCAATAATTTTCATTTGCTCAAGTCACTTTCACACCCGCATTAACTTAAAAAGCTCTACATGTGTGTATATATTTATATTATACACATATACAGCCTATTATCAATACCCTTGAGCCCTTCAGTTCCCACTTCCAATTTCTGATGTGTATAACACTTTAACTACCCCTGTGATCTCTCCTACTTTGAGACAGTTTTGATTAATAGACTCAACAATTATTTCCTACTTTTTCGTCTGGATACTTGAAGCTCCAATTAAGCCAATAGATGCAATGAACATGTATTATTCAAAATCTCCACCAGTTGTATCTAGAGGTCACCCTTGATGAGTTTGTGCTCTGAATTTCCTTCCTTTTTTTAAATAATTCAAGTTTTTCTAATTGCGCTTCAGAAACAGGTAGATGAAAACGACTTGGTACTTTGATATTTACTGAGCTTTTAAGATCCAGCTGTAGCTTCAAATCTCTCAATATTTGACATTCAAAGTTACAATTAAAAGCATAGCATTTTGGCTGCAAGAAGACCTCAGTGCATACATTTACATTCATTACTTCCAAAGATTTTCCTCCACTAACACAACAGACTGATTAGCCCTCAAGATGTCGTTGTCAAAACTGGCAACAGGGGAATGAACTGAAAAGGGGGAAGGAGCAGCAACACAGAGACCTGAAACAGTTGAACTCTTCCCTTTCCATTAAAAAGTTAATGTTATGTTTTGCCTGGGGCATGGCCTTTTGTCTCTCTATTCCCACCTGTAGGATGGCAAGACTAATTTGGATAAAATTCCAAGTCACTTAAATAGATGTAGGCTCCTGAATCCCTGAACCTTGACTAGAATCCAGGCATCAGCTCCCCTATGAAAGATGTTTCTCGGCATGGAGAAAGTCATCAGTTAATAGATGCTAAACAAAACTGAAAAGTGGTCACACTCTCTTTGAAGAATCATCACTGACATTTCTGAGGAACTGTTTCTACCTGCTGATATACACTGCTGATCATGACACTGTCTAATTCCTTCAGGTGTGATCTATGTCTGGGTGCTGAAACATCTTACTAGTCTCCACAGAGGAGCAGTCATACCTACAGCAAAAAACCAAAATTTTGCTTAAGAGGGTGTGAATACACACAAAAAAATAGTTACTGAATTACAAAATGGGAATGGCTAATATATTTTTTGTATTTTACTTTTGATAAGAAAATCCTAGCAACATAAGAGTTTCTAAAATAACTGTAAGTAAAGCAAGGGGAAAACCCATCAGCTGTGTCACTAGAATTTGCTGGTTTCCATTGCATTATAAATAGGAGCTTGGCAGACCCTCACAGAAAAGTGCATTTTTTCTGACATGAAGTTTACCTGCTATCTATCCTGGCTGTCAGTTAGAAGGGAGGACATCAGCAGACTGCCACTTGTGTAAGTGAGCCTGTGATCAGCACTGACCTTCCAAATAGAGATATTTGCATTTGCATTTTCTATTACTTTATTGATATTCCATAATCATGACCTGTAACATGCTGTCCTTAAACAGTCCAACTATTGCTCACAAGCTGAGAAATCAGGACCAAAAAGGCTGCAAAGCAGTAAAATAATGACATGATAATCAGTTAGATTTGTGATACAGCTGGACCAAATGCTATGATGAAATACAATTCTTTAAGGTAAGAAACAGCATTTAATTAGGTCTAATATACAGCAACAATAAACTGCCTAACAAGATTCCTCCTTTATCCATGGTAACTGTGCTTTGCACTTACCTTGTCACAAAAAACCTTGATCTGGCAGTAGGCTCGGTGGATAGGTTTATTGCTGCGGTTGTTGTAGCTGTAAGTATCGATCTGAATCATCAAAGGAAGCCCTTTTACTCCTTTTTGTGAGGAGAAGTCTGTGCTCAAGCAATTCACTGTGATGAAAATCTGTGTGCCAGAGAGATTACTTTTTAAAATGTGGTGCAAACAACAATTAAACTTCCAGAAATACATGACAAGAAATGGGAAAATAAAATAAAAAGGTTTTAATTCAGCTATGATGCACGCTCTGGCAATTCACACATTTATCCTCCACTTCTGTCCAGCAAAGACACTCTATCCTGGGAAGAACAAACTTGAAAGCCATATATTGCTACTTTAGTTTGGATCAGAAGCTCACATTTGAGGTGAATCATTTGGTTCTCCCAACTTACCGTGCTTTGGTTCACACCAGAGGCTCAGAATACATGAACTGGATACTTTTTGGAAGAGCCGGACCAGAAAGACATGCTCCAGGAGCACTCAGATCCTCCAGCTGCTCATAGTTGCTTAGTTCATGGGAACTGACTAAAGATAATCTGAGATAAAACCTCCTAAAACGTGCCTTATGTGGATGTCAGGTCTTTAGCCTTTACTTGTTCCACCCCTCAACCCTGCTCTGTATGTTTGCACTATTTGTTGATACAGATCATCTTGCTTCACCCTTTCCAGCTGCCTTAGGTATGGCTTGCTCATCTGACAGCTCATTCAAATTCAGTGGGACAAAGATAAACTCTACTCCTTTTATTTTAAACATTTTCTTCACAGTCTCATTGACACTACTGCTTTCTCCATCCCATCAATAGATACTCCCATGTTTCACTTTAAGTGCCCTTCACAGTCATTCCTCCATTTTAAAGATGCACCTCACCCTGTGTTTCAAACTGGGAAGGAATTTTTCAAATATCCATAAAACTACTCCCTACCTCTTCTCAGAAGTTCTCTTTGTTCCACAGCATCCACATAACTTGACACTGCATTCAGAGAGTCACAGAGTCATCTGAGCTGGAAGGGACTGGGAAGCATCATCGGGCCCAGCTCTTAATGGCCCATCCAGGGATGGAACCCACAACCTCAGCATTAACCAACTGAGCTAGCAAGTCCCCTGCTTTAGAAATCCATCTCTTTCTCTCCTTCTACAACAAAAACTTACAACTTGATAGTCACTAATCATCTCCCTCTCGTTAACTCAATTGGCACCATGAGACAAGGTGTGTGTCATCTGTACAGGACCGGGGAGAAGGGTCTCCCAACCACCAAAGTCTTCCAAGGACTATTCTGAGGTAAAGCAAACATTATGAACTGAAATACCACCAATAGCTTTCAGTCAGGATGGCATTCATAAAACTCAAGAGAAGAAACTAGATTAAAAATCTAATTTTCAGCCCAGTGAGGAATATGTGCATTACATAATAATTTGGGGCAATGATGTATTGATTCTACTTTTCACTTGCCCTTAGTTTAAAAAGCAACAACAAAACACCAAACAAAACAAAACCCCAAAAGTGTGAACCAAGGAAAAGGACTGAGAAAACCAGCAGTACATACTCCTGAACCAGGAGGATGTGAAACCTGCTCCAGAAGAATAAGGACACTCAGGAAAGAAGAGATCTCAAACTGGTCTCTCAAACAGATCTGATGCACCCCTCACAGGGCAGAGGAGAGGGCAGCAGGCCCCTGGGGTCTGGGAGGATTCCTGAAGGAAGAGCATGAAGGACATCCCCCCCTCCTGTCCCTCCATTCCACAAACAGGGAAAATAAACCAACAGCATGAGCAACCAGAATGCAACATCCCTAAGAATGCAACATCCCTAAGAAAGACAACTGAATATAAAGAAGGGCTCCAGCAGGGCTGGTGGGGGATACTTTACCCTCCTGGCAGAAGTTAACATTACAGTCAGGGTCTTTATGATGGAGCCAGAACAGCTTGTTTGCCTGAGTGAGCTAATGGCCCCTCCTCTCTGCTTCTGATTGTATCACAGAGCTGCATTTACAAATGAAATAGTTGAACTTTAACTGCCGAGAGAAGAGGGAGGCAGGGAAAGGCCCTAGGTGAAACTCTGATTTTGAAGCTGATAGTGTTATTTCTGTTTCAAATTACAAGTTGATCTCCTCCAGCTCCAAAGATAAATGTAGACACAGAGAATACCCTTTGAAATACAACAGCCTGAATTTTTATTTGCCTTCAGAATCATTTATGGTGTCAGGGCAATGGTTTAAAGTGTGTGTGAACACACAGTAGTGGAAGGAAGTCTAGCATAAAACAGAATCTGGTCTCCCTATATTTTAGCCCATACTTCTGGCACAGGGATTTTCCAAAATGTACATTCAAATGTGAGAAGACATGCAGGCTTTGCAACTACCTAGCAGTTTGTACTACTTCCACCCTTGCTGCACACTCAGCTGAGAAGCAAAAAAGATATCTTGTCCCACCTTAATCAACTACATACACTGTGTCATCTCTTCCACTGCCTCCACAATCACAGAGCAGAGTAGGAACGGCTGGGGAAGACAGACTTTATGGTTTCAAGAGTCCCCATACAGCAATAACAGATTATTCAGCATGAATAATAGATAGATGCTGTAGGACTCGGTATCTTGTCCTGACACTGTAATACATCAGGATCTCTCTGAGGAGCAATGACTGTACATTCATGCACATGAAGCCTACTACACTTTCTGTCATATCATTTGCACCCCACAAATAGACAGATGGATTTGAATTAACACAGATCATTGATACTGGGGAAATTTTCTGTCTCCATGCAATGTTCTATTAGCTTTCCTGTAAAGCACCACACTGACTTTGGATTTGGAAAACACAGGGGTGTATAGAGGGAAAGGGAAGAGGGCATAGCTTCTGTTATTTATTTTAGGGGGTTTCTTCTTTGCATGACCAAAGATTTGCACCAGTGCAGCAGGCTGCTATGGTGAAGAGGACCTGAAGAAACATCTGGATAGTCCCCTTCTCTCTCCCCTGGTCTGACCAGACACTATCTTCCCAAAGCAGTGATCTGCTCTGAGCAGCACTGATTTGAGCCATTTGTCCAAACACATCCTACTTTGCCCTTTGCAACTCTCATCTTCCCCCTCTTTCCAGCTCCTGTCCATAATGCATGTACTCCTACTCTTGATGAGACAAGGGGCAAAACAACTCCATGGTCAGTCACAAAATGGAGAGCTTTTCTACTTTTCTTAGAAGATACCCAGATTTAAGATCTCCTTTGCTGTGGTATTTTGCATAGTAGAATTAACATGGTTAGAAAATGTAGAGTTAAGTAGAAATTACAGTAGCAGGAAGAGAAATCACTGTCTCCCTCCCAATCCCTGTCTACACTTGTCATAGAACTGTATTAATAAAAGTTAGTGTGAAGTACCCGAATTCAGAGGCAACTTTTTTTTCCTGTGCAAACTGGATTTTAGCAATGTTTTGCTATCTGGAACTCGTTGTATAATTGTCATTATAGTGATATCTTTTTTTTTAATGTCAGCATATCTTAGATTAGAGCAATTAATGGCAGAGTTCCACCCATCTAGTCTCCAGCTCAGGCACACCATTGGCAATTAAATACTAATTTAGAGAACCATTTGGTGCTGAGAAAGGTTCAGAAGTGGCCCAAGATAACAACAGCTCTTCTATTTGTTATAGAGCACGTCTAGAAAAAGCACTCTGTCTTTTGGGGAGTACTCCTCCATGGTGTAGCTGCTATTATAAGAATTACTGTTTGTTAAATACTGCAGCATAATTAGGGATGTACAAGACACAAACACAGTAAGCTGCCTTAAGGGAAAGCAAGGCTCAGAAGTGCATTTCCCTTTTTATCATTTAATTCAGCCAACATGACTCTTGCTGCGGTCTCTCAGCTTATACACTAAAGGTCTACAGCTATGAAACTTCTAATATAAGCCTTTTATTGCTATTTACATTTCTGGCTCCCATTATCTCAGAAACTGCCACGGGCAGAAGGGAGGCACAAAATAAGAAACTTAAAGCAATTTCTCTACTGAATACTGGCAATACATAGAACCCGGGTGACGGGTCTCTTAAAAGTCTGCTTTAAAAGGTTCCTCCCTCCAGACCCTAACAACAAAGAGTTAACTGACTTGTCTCTCAAATGACTAACATCAATCCCATCATTCTTCATACACACAGAAAGTGTGGGTTTATAGTTTCTTCTACCAGCCGTTACCTTATAAATCCCACACAAAGGTAAGACCTTTGTTTTATTTCAATACAAATGTCTCCAGCAAATGTTTACACTACTCTTTTGAAGCTTCCTCAACCCACACCACACCCCGGCAACTACATAAAAATGCCATTTGCTTTGAATCCCAGATGCATACTTACCAAGCCATTTGTATACACTGAATTTCAACAATATGTGCTACCACAGGTTAACTCTTCTCTAATATATACACGTGTGTGTGCATGTCTTGCATCTATATATACACTCATATATATATATATATATATATATATATATATATATATCTGCACACTTGCACACACAGACATGGTTTATTAAAGTAGCTGCCAAGTTTAATCCTACATAATTTCTGCTACTAACTCCCCAAAATGAAGCATCTTTTCCTTCAACCTTTACATTTTTAGAGTAGAGAAGACATTAATTTCCTTCCTAATTAAATTAAATTTGATGTAACTTGAGAAGGAAATTCACAATTAAGGAAAAAAAATCTTATACTAGTCAAAGCCTGGCCTATGTATCACTAACGATGTTTAAGAAATATGGATTGCCACAATATGAATTACTGCTAGAGATAGTGCTGTTCTATAAACTTGATTTTACCATTGTACCCACTGGAATTGGAGCTCACTTTGGCCCACGATATCCAAGAACCTAATCCTGCAAATCAGTCACTCTTTGAAAACAGCTTATTACTGTATGAGCCATGCCAAAACTCATTAAATAACTGGAAAAGTTCCCAGAGGCTTCAGCATACTTTGGATTAAAGATCTACATTTCAGTTAAATATAGCAGGGCAGTTATTGCACGCAAGTATACACAACAACTGCTCAACACACAACTCCTGCACTCACTGAAATCATCTCACTCATTTGCCAGCACCTGCCTGAATAACACAGCCACAAACATGTCTGTTTATTGCGTGTCCAAGTTGCAGTGCTTAGCAGAAATCTGTAATCTCTTGATATCACTGAAAACCGCTTGTCTCTTTAAGGAGACATATTTTGTTAGCAACTGCTCACTGAAGTAATATCTTTGATTTCAAGGCTAAAAAATACTGTCCATAAAAATATACAATTGTTTCAAGAAGTAACACCATCACAGCCAATGTAAATGCACCGAGTACCTACCAGAGAGAAGTCATATCTCAAGGAGGTGGTATGGTTTATGACAAATATATTATCCTTTGACCAAGACAATTCTGTCTCTTTAAGTATCTTTCTTGCAAACTAACTTCTGTCAGTGCTAACACTGCAAGCAGACAGATGAATGTCTATCAGAAATGAAGCTGAGTCTGTTCAAGAGCTTCCACTAGAACTTTGTCCACTTGCCAGATGCTGCAGCAAAATCATCTACAGGGCAACAGCAAGGCAACTACATAGCTTCTAGCATATTATAAAGACACTTTCAAAAGACAGTTAAAATGTCAGCCAGTTGTTAATTGTTGTTTGTTTCTTCATCTTTTCTTAAAGAACTCCTTTAAAAATACCAAACATAGCATTTGGGTTCAACCAAAGGGAGACAACAAATCACCTTACCCATAAACATTACATATTTATAACAGAATTAAATATGGGAGGGAAACAAAGATGGATTGTACAAAACTGTTCTTCTCTTCCTACCCCTGCTCCCTTACAGCAATATCTTTGTTTTAAGAAAGCACTGAGTTTGACATGGCTATAGAGCCTTCCCCTCATTTCCCTGGACCCTGCTCTGAGCCACAAGCCCCACAGTGACCTCTAGATAAGAGCCCCAGCAGAAAAGGATGCTGTTGTAGAAAAGGGTAAGGATGTGCCAGGACTAACTCTCCTCTGCCAGAGGTAAGGGAACTGCTGCTGTCAACCAGGCACAGCAGAGAGAACACGAGCAGAGTGGTGTTTCTGACTTTGGTGCTGTTTCCTTAGATCACAGAAAGCAACAGTGTGATGATTCCACCTCTTGACATGCACTGTACAAGATTCTTCTTCTGCCAAGCAACAGCTGGAAAATGACACACCAAGCATGGTGAACTGGAGCCAACAGCCCAGTTCCACTGACATTACTGGGGCAACAGAGAGAGGCCTCTGCCTGTACCCTCTGCATTCCTGTTTATTCCACTATGACCCAGCACGAGATGCTGCCTTACCAGCCCTTAGCAGGCTCACTGGTAGCTGGCAAATTCTGACTGCCACACCCATTCTCCAATACCCTCATCCTGAAGGGCTGCAAGGGGAAGGCCTGCTCTGTGTGTGAGAGGAAAAGTCTGACTTCAAATGAGGAGAAACATGGCTTTGAATTAGCTGCTATCCAGGTGGAGTAGGAAAGTGAGAAACCTGATGTTCAAAATAGGTCTTCTAAATGTGGGATTTAGTTTCCCAGGAGAGAGAGATCTATTTGGTTAGGTGATTTCTACTACTTCTGTTTGATTTTCCACACTCCCCAGTGCACTTCCAACAAGAAGTTTTTCTTTGCTTCTTCCAGGGCCAGTAGAGTGCTTCATCACATCCCAACTCAGAGGCCCTGAAAAGAACTGTTGTGTGCCACTTTTGTCTAACTCGATAAAAAAAAAGGCTTTTGTGCCTCTGAGAGGGTTAAATTTTAATCTTGAAATTGTGGTGAAAATGGAAAATAATACCAAACAGAAACAATAGAGGCAGTTGAAAGATCATCATTCAAAAAGCTTAGGAAAAGGGAGTCTGTAATTATTCTTCATCTCCCATGGATGAGGTAATTGCTGGAGAAAAAACAGCCTTCAGTGACGTGCCTCAGAACCCACAGCTTTCCAACACCGCAGGGGCATCCTATGGGAATCCCCAGACCCAGTGCAAGCAGTTACTGTATCAAACTTCCCAACAGGAGCAAGCACGTACACAGACATGTGTGTGTGTGGGGAGGGAAACATTGGAGCGCAGACAAAGTGATAAACTCTCACATACAATCTGATTTATGCTTGATAGCCAAAACTAAAGCATGTTATAAATCCTCTTTTATCAATACATTTACAGTTCAAGCTCCTAAAAGATCAGATATTTAATACCCCAAAATAAATATGCATAAGCCAATTTGCATTTCAATCACTATTTCCTGCAGAAATACAAGCAGCCTAAATTTCACTCCTAGCACTTTTTTAATTCAGAAAGAGTCTTTACTTTAAAATCTCAGCTTGTTTTGTTTCCAGTGATCATTGCAAAATTTGTGTTTATAATGTTCTGGCACCCAAGGCAAGAGCCAAGTGAATGGTGTGAGATTAGGGAAAAAAGTCTGAGGTTAACAGCTGACATTAATGGATGTGACTTCCTTGTTCCTAGATCAACATGGGTGTCTTGCTAAGTCTGGCTTGGAGCTGCAAATGCAAATGACTTAGAGAGCTGCCAGCCCTGGGACAAGACTGCCAGGTTCTAGCCCTGGTAGTGCTTCTGTAAAGGTCCTCGAGGAGGACTGCTGCCTTGGAGATCCCAAATCGGTGTTTGCTTGCACAGTGATCACACACACACAGCAGTTGCCTGTGGTGACTGCAGAAGACAACCTACAGCTGTATTTTGAAATGGAAACACATAATAGGGAAATATCTGGGCCGTTGAAAAGGTAATCTCTACATGAGTAAATACAGCACCATTAGCAACTGGGCCAAGTACAACTCTGTTTATCAAGGCCTGCTTTTGAAAGAGCTGGGTGATTTTCAGAACTATTGTCTTTCCTTTTAAGATGCACATCAGAGATTAAATCCCGGTTACTATAAACAGTCAGCACCTTCAGTCAGGAGTCAGGACAGTGAGTGTTAATGCTACCACTCAGTGCTCAGTACAAGTTCTCAGAGGACTCACTCGGAGGATGCAACCTCTCTATTGCTGCTGGAAATGCAGTGGGCAATTGTGCATGAAGAGGTCTTTGTATTTGAAAGATTCATAGCTCTAGTTAAGCACTGGACATTTTGTGTTCAACATGAAAACACTATCAGGAGTTTGCCGAGCTCAGTGTTTGCTGTTTATTAACTACATCCCCAAGAGTACTGCATTACCCTCACTCATTTTACACAGCCTATTTCCCTTGTTGTTTGCTTTCCGGGGGCCAACTTATAATTACCGGCAGTTTTTCATTTCTCCCACACTAGTCTATGCAGTTGAAGCACTCTGACAGCCTTTGTACAACCTTATCTGTAAGAAACTAGTTAAGGTGTTCTGATGTCCTGGTTTATAGGTCCACTTAAGAGTCACATTCCTGAATGAAAACCCCATGCCTGAGGGTACTTGACCATTAAAAAAGGGAAAAGAAAAAAAAAAACAAAAAACGTCTCAGTCCTCAAAAATACATTCATTCCAAATTGCAAAGATGGTCTGCGTAACAATATAAAATAAATGGCACCAACACAAGGAAGGCATAGTCTAACTTACAGAATATGGATTATTGGAGATGCTGATACTGTAGAAAGAAAGTTGTCAGTTTGGAGAAAGAAAAGACAGCTTGTGTCTTGCACCTGGCTTTGCAAATAGGAAAAAATCTTTTACTTTCTCAGGCTGGGCACCTACCAACAAGCCCTCTTACTTCTCAGAAAGGAGAGAAGTGGAGCAGTGCCTAACGATGGATGGTACTTATATAAATGGATGCCATCTGCATGGCTTTTCCTCACCTTTGCCTCCTCATTGACATCCCAAGTAAAGGACACAGCATTGAATGCAATTTCTTCAATATTCCCAATGGTATTAAAACTCTCCTTGTAATCAGCTGTAAGAAAAAACAAGAGTCATGAAAAAAATTGAACTGTTTTACAACTCATAGTGCTTCTTTGCTTCTTAAGCTGGGTTGTCTAGTGCATCAAAACCACCTCTTATATTGTTTATGATTAATTATGAATAATCTTTATTACAAAGAGGTAATATAATGCAACCTGAGTCTTAAGCATAGTATATCACTAGCTAATGTGATACTATAGTATCTGCACCTTCTTCTCACTTCTTCCCCACTGCTATTATTATTCCCCACTGTTATTATTATCATCAATAAACTAGCATTTTGTAAGGAATGAAAAGCAAAAGGGAGGAAGATTTCAAAGTTTACTAAACCTCCCCCAAAACAGTAGGACTGGAAAACTATATAAAACAGACAACTCCCAAGTCCTCTTTATAATTGAAAAAAGGAACAAGCACTGCTTTTCTCTCACTTTGCTGGACAGTTTAACACCTTTTATTCTTTTTGATGACAGATTAAGAGAGATACCAGGTAATAGCTGCTTGATTAAAGGAACTTCCAGATCGTTCACACTAATGGAATAACTCTCTCTGGGACAAACATTTCCTAAGAATTCCTCGAGGGCTGTAATTGGACTCAGTGCCAGAGGGCTGAGATTACATTCCTGATCTAAAGTTTGCCCAAATCCGTGCTTCAGAAGCATGCTGATTCTTAGCTTTGTAATCAGTTATAGAAAGAGGGTGTTTTTGTATTCTGTGCGACACACAAATGATTCCAATACTCATTCCCTTTGCCTAAACTGTTGATCTCTAAAAAATAATTTATAGATAATAACTATTTTAAAATAATTTATAACAAAAAACACTGCTACAAGAATAATTACTTCATGTTTGAGACTGGCAATCAGTATACTTTTCTCTCATTTGAAACACAAGAATGCTGGCATCTCATTGGGTAAATAAAATTGTGTTCCTGGGATCCATGAATGATTTTAGATACAGTAAAAAAAAAATCACTTTAGACCATAAGAACAGCACGAGATTATTTGGTGATGTAGCAAATTAGCAAAGTGTTTGAGAGGGCAGGCAGGCTTTTCATTCCCACCTTGAACTCAGGTCTCCTTTTTAACTGAAGTCGTTGGCTTCACTATCTAAATTCAGTGTAGGGATGCAAATGAGAGGAATTAGAAGACACATAAGTAGTTTAATATGCATGTGCACACATCCACCCACCTCTTAAATTTATGATTCACCAGAAAGTGCCTCGTGCAACTGACTGCTGCATATGGGCGTGCTGTGTAGGTGCACTTTGGAAAGACATGAACAAGATGTCTTGTAAAGACACCTGTTTTCTTGTCTTAAAAGGCTGTCAGAACCTCACATCCCACCAACCCTTCCTTTCTCTCAACACATGCCTATCCTTTAATTGCTATACACCAATCTCATGGAGTGTCTATGTGACACTGTTAAAAAGCAGAAGTGCATCCTATTCCCCTCAATTTACATCCAATTAAAGAAGGATCCTCAGTTGATTAAGAAACCGTTTACACCTCAGAATATTTGAAAGCTGTTAGAGTGACTACAACTTTTCCACTTCTCCTGCTGTGAGTTACCAGAAAGAGAAAATCAGCGTGTTCAATAAGCAAAAAATGGTTGCACAGGAGTTATTTCCTCTTTTGTTACATAAATTGCATATAAAACAATGGCAAATTTTTAATGTTAAACATTAATCATGCATTACATGTCATTGCATACTTTTGCATTGTGCACATAAATAACACAAACTATCCTGAAAAAAACAAGGGCAGGTTTCTATGGAGCACAAAGTTTCCACACCCATACTTCATATTTGAACCTGTTCCAGTATGTCATATTATTGTACTTATTCTGAATAATCAATATCCACTGAAATTAAGTATTATATTCTTTACATTACAATTATTTTAAAAGAAAAGTTTAGTGATCCAGTGTCACAGCACTGTGAAAATAAAGCTGTTTTCCCCCTGCCCACCTTATTCCTCCTACAAAAAAACAAACATGCACCTTACTCCTTCTTCAGAAAAATCCTTTACAGGACATAGCCTAAATTTTGGAAAATATCTTACCTTCTTGCTTAATAAGAGTCAAGCCCTCAGGTTTATTCCTCAAGCACTAAGAACTTGAATACAAGTACATGTTTATCTTTATTAATATCAACACATCTTCAGACTTGTCACTCCACCTAATCCACTGAAGCATCCTTCCTCCTAGGAGGTGCCCCAGCCAGCACACAAAACAAATTAAAGCAGTGACCCGTGTTTGTCTGGAGTGAAGGAGCGAGCCACTATTTCCTCTGATGTCCAGAATATAACTGCAGGCCAGAAAGCAGACAGACAGATCTCTTCCACAATGGAAAGCAGCACAAGCATAGCCCCCCTGTCCATCTGAGATCTGAACAGCTGGAACTGGAGCATCCCAAATTAATTTGATCCTCTGCCTGCTAAGGATCACATCATGGTCTAGATTAAAAGTGCATTCATAAACAATTAGAAAGGATTCACAGATGTTAAACATGCTACAAACATCAAATTAAAATAAGAGTAACATCTATAGAACAGGTGATGCAGAGTTTTGGACACTTAATTTTCTTTTTATACAGGGCCTGGACATTAACTCCAAGTATTTAGAGGACCCCTTCAGGTATCTGAATTTTTAACGTAAAGGGAAATTTTCATAGAGTCATTCAAAATAATTTTTGCATCAAAGGGACCCCTGGAGGTTATCTGGTTCAAGCAGGGCCAGCTTCAAATTTGGATTAAGTTGCTCAGTTAGATAATTTGATGATAAAACTAGAAGATTTTGCTAAATGCAGTTTGATACTTGGGAGCCATTCTGGCCTAATAAGCCAGTTAACCATGCCAAAGAAAATGAAATGTACTTCAGAAACACCATACTTGTAAGATGTAAGGCTATATTTCAGTTGTTCTCAAGAAAACACTACTGAGCAACATTTAGGTCTCTTTTTTGCTGAAAACTGAGGTGAACCATGCTCTTACAGCTCTTATATCTGACAAGAAGGGCTATATCAGTAAGTCTTACTACACTGTGCTTTGCTCATGTTTGCACCGCAAATAAAGAATACGCACCTCAGTATTCAAAAGTGCCTCAAAAGTCAGAGCAGAGCTATTTCACCTCAAACTAATGGAAAATTAAAAGACATTCACTTTAACACAGGTAAACATACAGCTCATGCACAGCACTTATTTTGCAGAGCACTATTTTTCAGAATATGTATCGTAAGTTAACTTTTTGGGGTAAGGCAACTGAAATGTGTCAGGACACCACAAGTGCAGTGGAATCAGAGGGTGCTGGCACTACTGTGGAGCGAGCTGCTCAGCACATACTTTTCAAAGGTATGAGCACTACTACCACAAGCTTGTAGGGACTAGCACAAAAAAACCAGGCAGCCTTCAGAAAGAGCTGTGAAGTGGCCTGTTTCTTCTTTTAAGGTGCCATGATAAAAGTAATTTGTTCTGGGGGGGCGGTTTTACTGAGTTAGGTACCCTAATGGACAAGAAGAGAAAATGGGGGCAAGGGAGAAAAGAATGAAGTTCATGAAACAGTTCAGCCAGAAAAATGATGCTAAGACAAGAGGCAGCAAAGATATTCTGGAAGAGCTGCTTGGAGAAAATACACTTGACCTTAAATAACACCAGGCCTCAGTGGAAACTACAGCATTTGAAAATCTACGGGGCAGCACAGTGATTAGGACCGCTTGGGGACAGATTCCCTGATCATCCAGTTCAATCGTCCCCTGAAGTGTCAGAATGTTCTCTACAAGTAACCCTGCTTTGGTTTAGCCCCCGTCTCTGCCCCCTCTCATTCCTGCCATTCAATGGTTTGGTTCCCTCAGGCGGTCAAAACAAGATAGACTTTGTCTGCTTTGGTCTTGCCGACTCCTTTGACTGGAATCCGTGCAGATGGGTGCATGTGTAAACTGCACGTGGGAGGGGAGAAACGCTTGATGTCTAGACACTGCCACTGACTTCAACTTCAGGCTCCTTGGCAGCAAGTACGTGTTCTTCCTCTGCTAAAATCTCCCGAGCATGCAGATAGGACAGCTGAGGCTCAAATGGGCTAGTAGATACTTTAGATGGGATGAACGATAAACAGGTCTCTCAGGATAGCACACCAGAGCTTGCCTCTCCCTCACTGCTGACACTGACTCACTCTAGGGGTGTAGGAATCCTGCACACTCCTCTGCAGTCACCACAATGATGACATCTGCACTCTCAGGCTGCAATTCCACATCAATTGGCTAACATAACTGTTGCTGGATCAAAGACTGGATCACCCTTTGAAAAAATAAAGGGAACAGATACTCTGCCACACCTGAGGAGGTGCAGACCTTGATTTCCCAGAAGGAGGTACACCACTAAATACACATGCAAGGGGCAGCTGTTCTGTGTAAATACTGAGAACCATTCTTTCTGCATGGTCCCTACCCAGCTCCATAGACCCCACAGTCCTAGCAGCAATGAGCCATTGCTAAAAACTCTGGTACAAGCCAAGAAGCCATTGCCAATATATTCCACCATAATTCTGTGCAAGGCACCAGAGCTTTCCATATCTGAAATCTTCCCTGAAACATCTGGAGATGTTCTTACACTCACCAATGTCAAGGACTCTCTGTTTAGCTGTATGCTGCCGGGAATGCCAGTACTTCCAATATTTCAGCTGTTCATCTCTGTTTTTATCCTCACTGAAAACAACCATGACCACACTCTATGAAAAACAATACCAGAGCCACATTAGTTAAAATAATTAATAGTCAGGAACACAAAAATTAAAATCTCCATATGTCTCTAATTCTGATCCAACTACTCTCACATACTTTGATGTAGAAGACTGGGTTTTAATCAGACCAGTACTACAGTGTACTTAAAAACTCAGGACAAAAGAAATGTAGTTGTAAAATAATGCAAAGCCCAGGATTATGTTCTTGATAATCCAAATAAAAATTAATCATATTCTTAGTTTTAAAAAGTCACCTTCACTGGGTAAAGGCAAGACATTTTCAATTTAGTATACACAAATACTCTTTTTGGGAGCAGGACTCTTATACATATGTGTTTAATGACAAATTCAGTGTAACTGAATTTTGCTGAGGTTTACAATTCACATTCTGAATTCACTCTGTTAAACTGTGATTCAAAGGAAACAGATTGAATTTTTATGCAAAATTTTACACAAACAATATAGGCTTTTTGAATAAGCCCTGCTGTAGGCAAGCAAAACAACACAAAACAATGGAAGAATGATCATACCAATTAAAATTAAGTGAAAATAAACCAGAGAAAAAAAACTTCACTATTGAATGTTCATTTTTACCCTGAGACAGAGGTAGATTACAATTGATTCATCATCTGTGTCCCTCCAAAAACCACCATCACAATCCTTCGTGCACTCTGTGACCTTCTGCATTCCACCTATAAAAGGTGACCACCATCACCACATCTTCTTCTCCATGGCACGAGGCAGTACACACCATGGAGGAGTCCTGGGTTATGCCTGTATATACTGGCTGGGCACCAGGTGTGTGTGGCTGGCCAGCTGAGGCACTAACCAGAACTGGCCATGCAGATTGGCATTTCCACCAAGGACAGCACTAATGTTTTTATTAACCACTTACAGGGAACTTGTAGAGGTTTAATACCTTCAAAACCTCTTGCCCTTCTGTTAGCTTTGGATGGAATCGGCAATAAATTCAACAGTCACTTGAGTAGAGCCCTGGCAAACAGAACATGATTGTGAAAGTTGCACACAGTTTCACAATCTTCTGTCAACTACATCCTCCAGAAGGATGCAATCTCACCTCTCCTTTATAATTTCCACCCTTCTGCTGCCACAGCTTCAAAACTCGTGTGGCAGTGCACTGAACCAAGTATATGAGGACTGGTTTTCAGTCAGACCAGTACCTCCTGACTCCTGTTTCAGCTCTACAAGTGCTAGAGCTGGAACCACAAAATGGGAAGGAATGGGTGGCAGGGAAAGAGATTGTACAGCAACAGAGCAGTCTTACATCAGATTCAGCCAATAGCCTCATGTCTCAAGGAAACCAGGCTAAAAATTAACTGCTAATTCAGGTTTCCAAATCATTGCCTCTGTTTAGGAAGAGTCTCTCTAAACTTCATGTATGATAGAAACATATAGGTTGTTGTTTGCTTCACTGCTCACGTTGACTTTCGTTGCTTCCTTTGACTAAAGTCACAACATTTTTAGAGAAGTTCATGTATTTGGATGGAAACATTTTTGTGGCCTCATACATACGCAGCCCTGACAGCTTCAGGGTAAAATTTACAGGGCTCATTTTTCATTCCAAAGTTACTGGGTTAGGATTTATCAACTCAAAAGCATTACCAAGGAAATCAGGAGGCTCATTCACCAGGTAGATGTTGCTGAATACACAAGCTACAGTTCTATGCATAGAATCTAAGATGCAAATAATTCATTTTGTTACACTTCTGTGTGAATGTCAAGTGAAAGCTCACACTTAGACAATGAAAATTATTTAAAATTTATGTCACAAAGGATGGATTCAACTCTTCACGTTTTCTCTGAAATGCACTGGAAAGCAGCTGATGACATGCACCAGTGAGTAAAGATGGACTACACAAAGTACATGTGGCAGATCTTGAACTTCTTTGCTTTATTCATGGCAATAAGTTCACCAGTGTTAAGTGTAGTGTCTGTGTAACCACCATTCTGCCAAACCATAAACTGAGGCTATCATTAACTCATAAGATCACACTCTGAAAAAACTGGACAGCAAAACATTTGTTACCATCAATAAGGTGTTATCTCACCTTTACATTGAGCATGAGAATAAGCTTGCTCTGTCCTTCCTCCCCCCCCCAAAAAAATTTAAATTAAAAGCCAATCAACCACAACCACAACTATCTGCAGAGCTACATTCCCATCTAGGAAAGAAATGTGACTATACCCTGACTTTGCTGATGGGATGCCGGAAGCATTTGTTGTCACCCGTCTCGCTCAGGGTGATGGCGTAGAACTGTCCTTTGTTCAAGTAGGTCATGGGTCCTTCCCCTTGCTTCTGACGCAGAGACTTGGTAGCTTCTAGTGTGTACTGAAAAGTGCTGCTGAAAAGACAAGGAGAGAAACAGCCACAAAATCCATATCACTTTCCCCTTTTTTATTATGTAATTATTGCATTGAATAAGGCATAAGGAGCTAATAACAAAATTCCAGGCAACTGTGACATAGCAATTTAAAATTGCAATTTTCTTTTTTTGACTTCATCAGATCCCGCAATCAAGCGTAAAACTATCTGGACTGCAAGTTTCTTGGATCAAAGGTACTATCTCTGAAAGGAACCATTATGAATTATGAGACTGTGTACCTCACAATGAGAGTGTCAATTACCAAAAGGGGATTCAGTATGATTTGCAGAAAATCATCAACTCCACGGACATTTAAACTTAGAAGAAAGTTGCAGAAAGAGAAATAAATAAATAGTTTTTTTAAAAACCCAACTAGAATAAAACATTTTGTGAAAGATGGACAGAAAGAATGGAAAGTCCAACTGCTACTTTCAGCACAGTTCAAAGAAGGAATACAAAGAGAATGGACAGTAAGTTCATTTGTGCAAAGACAACATGCAAATCAAGGTTTTTATAAGCTTTCTTTTCAAAATTAGTCACACTGAATGAAGTGCCTACATTTAGCTTTATCTTCAATCAAGTAACCTCCCTTTAGAAAAATGTCAGGCAAAAACAGCTCTTGTGTTGAAATTTTAGGTTTTTAAAAGACCCTCCTTCACAGAAGAACTTTCCAACTTCAAAGCACTTCTCAAACCATGAAAAGTTAAGGCTCCATTAACTAGTGAACTGTTAGCTGGAAACAATTCTCACTGAGCCTCTTCAGCCACCACCTCCAATAATGGGCTTGAACAATAATCCAATAAAAATGATGCCTGCAGCTCCTCACATTCTCTTACATTAAAATAACATTGATCTTGTAAAAAAAAAATTTCAAACTGCATAGGAACCTTAATGCAAAGTACTCATGAACTGGAGATACAGTGGAAGCATTTTCACAAAGGTTCTAATTCAGAAAAGTATTTAAGCAGTGCCAGAGCAGAACCAAAAGGAGGAGTATGTTGGTCCAAAACAACAGTGTATCCCTAACTTTCTAATTCAAGCAAATACTCTAGATCATCATAGTGATAATCATCGCTGCCATAGCGATATAGAAATAAAGGGAAAACAAAAGATATTTTAACTATCCAATGGAAAAAAACCCACAACAAAACACGTAACTAATAATTACATTTAAATCCCCACTTGAAGAGAAGGTAGAAAAAACCCAACAGATCCAGTCTTTCCATCCAAAAGGAGCTTCATCAGCTTAGTATCAATTATTCAGTTTAGCTGCAATCATTCAATCAAATGAAGACAACTTATAAGTTCTTCTTAGCTTATAAATTGAAGTCCAATCATTTCTCTAGTTGCTTAAAAGTTACAAGTCAAAGCAAAACTAAGGTAATAAGCAAACACTCGTCTATACCTGTCCAACCCACCAATGGCAGCACTGGTGCTTCCACACAGGGCAGCTGGGGCCACCATGAAGGCTCCTGCACGCAGTGGGAAAGCAGCACAAGGCACCGCTGTCCCCTCTGCTGCGGGGTGTGCTGGCACAGCCCCTGTCCTGTGTGCAAGGGGGACAGAGGCACTGCCAACACTGGCAAGTGTGGACCTGTCTGAGTGGACTGGAAGAGCTGTACCAGCAGTGCTGCAGAACCAGCATCCATCTGGCTGCACCACTTTTAGAGGTAGGGGCACAGCCTTGATTTAGCATCACACGTAAGGACTGCAGATTTTGTGCTCAAGACCACTTCATAACACACATCAAAGCACACTGAGTGTCCTGCGAAACGTGCCTCAAAACCTCACACCAGACAGAAGAACTAACAGGGATGTGTGCTGAGAAGGGCTTAGAATGATCAAAGTCAGACACACACAATGTCTGAACAGAACTGCCTGCAGTCTGCCACAGGTTGGTCTTCTGTTCCCTGGCATTCTGTATGTTTCAGTCAAAAAATGTAAATCCCAGACACATTGCACTTGGCCAGTTTTGGAGCCTCTGTGTAGTGCCATTTCAGAGTTTTCTTCTCGTTTTCAGTTGGCAAGCAAAGCATGCCCTATAGCAGGAGGATTACTCTCACTCTTAAAACTTATTGCAGTCACTCAATTATTATAATACTATTATGAACCTCACCATGAGTATCAACTAAACCCCTGTGTAGTCACTAAAAGATCTTCTAGCAATAATTACTTGCATATTCACCACTTCTTTTTTCAATCTGAAATTCTCATTTCTGAGCCTTCCACTTCCAGGTAAACTAAATACACCTTTCCTGGGAGTTTTCTTAATGTCCATTCAGAGCTTTCATTCTTAAGGTAACCTGGGCCGTAGCATGAAAGACTTAAATGTGTGAAATTTGTTAACAACACTAATGCTTCAGGATTCAATTTTACTGAACATTTACAAATGTTCAGTGTAGTAAGCAAGCAGTCTTTGCTAAATATCAGTTTCATATCTTCTGTCTAAATAATGATTCAGTTCTGAGCTCACTGCAGTTAATGATTGTTTTAACATTCTTCAGGAAAAATATCAAGCTGTAAGGAGCCTTCACCACAGTCAGGGCCATATGCCTAATCCACGAAAACTACATAGGCATGTTCCTGACTCTAAAGTGAGAGTAATCTCTCAGATATAAACAGAACCATTCATTCATAAGTATGAAATAAAGCATCAGTTTAAAATCTTTAGTGATTGCAGTCTTTCCTAGACAAAGGGACTCTGCAGTGTTTGCCCATGCTGCATGCACATTCTTCTGTGCTTAGGCAGAACAGTATTCTTTTCAAACTTTAATTTTTGAAACTTTTTCTTGAAGCTTTTTAACTATCCTGGACATTTGACTTGTGCATTCTGTCACCCTGAAAAGATTTTTTATGAGCTGGTTGTCAAAGCCATACTCTTTTACCTGGGGAACCTCTCAACAGTTTTCATCTTGCATACCTTGGGCAGGGGGGCTTCAGAGGAATTATGAGTTTAAAGCAATGCTGAGGGAAGGCAACAGATGAAGACATAAACTATCCAGATCTAAGAGCTAGATGAGAGGAGACTGAGCAGGAGAAAAAGGGGAGAATAATGCTTGGCAGCATTAAGGGAGCCCTGCAGGTACCCCAGGGGGAAGAAAGGAAAGGCGGGAAGTGGACACAGGCAGCTACTCCTCAATACATTCCTGCCTGATGCCAGTCAGCACACTGCAAAGCTCATGCCATACCTTGTTTGTTCATAAATATATTCTTCAGCCCCCACTGACACACTCCGATACTTCTGAAAAATAAGACCAATTAAATACTCTTGGATAAAATCAAAATGCAAATACCAACAAAAGTGCAACTATGTTTATTTAAAGATAAACTCAAAAAAAAAAATCAACCCTTTAAAACTCAAAATACCTAAAAACTAGAGTGGATATTAATAAGCTAGTCACATTTTATATATAAGTTAAGAGGTTGGCATTGTAAAAAACATACAATGATGTTGTATGGTTTTTTTGTACCTAACGTCAAAGAACTTGTTTATACTATAGAGAACTAACAAACTAAGCACAGCTAAACAAAAAAATGAAAGAGATTAGAACAGCATATTTATAATAGTGACAGCATATTTATAATTGTTACAAAGAACACAGCAAGCGATTGACCAAAGTGTCCACTACCACAGCAATCTATAAAAGCTTAGCACTCCTTCAGTACAATACAACTAAGTCACTTCATACATGCTTTGAAAGCATTCCTAAATATGTATTATAATGTGTTTGAAAATTGAGTAAGTATTAGACCAAATCCAAACCCAGTCATTCTCACCCGTACTTAGGAAATACTTGGCAAGCACTCAGGAAAACTAGTAAGAACAACTGCCTTCCTACCTCTAAACACTAACTTTGCCTAAGTTTCTTTTGGTATGTTTTGACATTTTACCTTATGGTTTCCCCACACCTACTCGATCCAGCTGTGCCTACACAACAGTGGCTGGAGGAGCAGTCAGAGCACAGCCAGGCTAAGCACATCCTGGGGTTTGGGCAGTTGAGAAAAACAAAGGGACAGGCTCGGTGCTGAGTGAGGCTGAGCAGGGTGGCAAAGTTCTGACTGCTCCCATGCCACATGCACGTGAACCCTTGGGGCTAGAAGGCCACCAACACTGGCACACATCTCCCCAACAACTAAGGCTGGGGACATAAAGTTAATTGTCCAGTGTCCTTTGTAGAATTAATAAGGGAGGTGAAGATGGAGAGGAGTGAATGCACTTAGAAAACCCCTCCATCCAGTTTTGGCAAGCAGATTTGAACTGATTCTTTCTCCATAGACTGCAGAGAAATCCTAGATGGCAAATACTGCACCCTGTTATTAACCAATCATTTTAAAAACATATAACAATATATTACAAAAAAACATGTAACAAAGTTACTATAACACAAAATTTGGGATGCAAAGCCAACATGTAGATGTAAAGTTTCTTTTTACATCCAAATTTAACAACTTTGCATGTTTCACAGCTCTCTGCACAGGGCAGATGCTTGGGAACCTCTCAACATCATGTCCCCGAACAAACCAAAGGAATGGAATCACTCTGCTCGAGCACCACAGGGAAAGCCATGGGTATGGTACCATAAGAGCCATTTCCCAGTAACACATAAAAACTGCCAAACTAATATTGTTTGATAATGCAGAACAGTGTTTCTAATCCAAGGTTTGGTCCTACTGATTTTACAATGGGAAGCTAGATTTCTTCATTCTTTATTTATTTAGTTGACCTACATGTGTTCTTTATCTGAAAACAAATTTCACCTCCAGACATCCTGGATCTGTGTCCCTTATGGAGACAATGGACTTTTCTATACTACACAAACACACAGTAAATTTCTCATGTACTAAATCAGGGCAGTTCAGCCTTAATGTAGCTTGCCTTGTACTTTTGTTATGTTTACAATTTTGTAGAGTTGGGAGGATAAAAATCCTAGGGGAGTTTTACCATCTAATATCTCTAATTATTTGCGGAGGTACTGTTAGCTTTAAATTGTCTTTACCTTTCTACAATTCCAGCTTGCTTGCCTTATTCTGCAGCAGGGAAAAGCAGCCAGAGGGTACTCATCATACTAAAGCTGCCTGTAAAATTACTTTGGTTGTAGCATAACTGTAAAATAGTTAGAAGGAGCTCTCCTTGCCTTTTTTCTCCTCATTCCTGTACATATACACACAGTTGTTCCTTGCCTGGTAAATTCTCTGTTCCCCTCTATTAGTCTAATTCTTCTACCTTTTCTCACTTGCTTGTGTTACAGAAAAGAGCTTAGTGCAACAAACAGCTTCTGAATAAATTACTTGGGTTTTTATCCAGCAGCAGAGGCTGCTGCTACTCATTTGCATTTTCAAAAGAACATCTAGAATTTCCCTGTTACAAAGTGGCTATTTCTTACTATTCTGAAGGTAGATCTTGTTAATGGTAAATAAAACTTCTTTCAGAATAACAGCTATCTTCTACTTGACACAATATCCCCAAAGACAACAACAACAAAAAAAAAAAATCAGTGCTTATTATTCTCAGAATTTTCAATAAACATCTTTAAAATTGTCTTCTGAAATGCCTCATGATGCTCCCCTTTAATCAGAGCACAGACTGATGGAAACACAGCAAGAAGCAGAAATTAATTTGTTGAAACAAGCATCACTATTCTTCTAATGGCACTTGTGGACAGTTCAAATTTCCTTATCTTGTTTACAAGCTCAAATATCGTTATCTTGTTTACAGCTTTTTATTGCATTCTTAGAAGCTAATTTGAGGTGAAAAACTTACTTCTGTTCCTCCATCTTTGAAGGTGTCACTGTAGGTACTGTCAGGAGTACTGCGCTGATCATCTTTAAGATAATTTGTGTGGGGAGCAATGTTGGACACTTCGTATGGTTCAAAGATAACACCTCGGTGCTCCTCATTTTCTCCTCTTGCATAGTGTGTTTGTGGGGTCATAAAAACAGGGGTGAATTCCTCTGCTTTAACCACAGTCACTGCAGACCCTGTGATGGGTGTTGAGCTCCCAGACACATTTGTGTTGTATTCCCTTTTGGATGACTCCAAAGGATCTTGGTTCAAGGAAAGGTTAACTGGCACTGTCTTCAGGACTTGCACACGGTTCTCTCCCCCACTTAAGTTATTCTGAGCTTCCGTGGTATTAAGACAATTTCTGTGAGACAAAACCAAAAGATGTTATGAACTGTCCTGATAGAGGAAATCTCCTTCTTAAATAGCTTAATGGTCTTAAATGTCAGGGAAGGAGATTTTTCAATTCTGATAAGCCACTGCCATAAGAAGTAATACATTAACAAATACTAGGCAAAAGAAATTCTGAGGCAAGCAGAGGTCCAGAGCTCTTTAACAAATGGAGAAAGATAATACATTTGATTTGACTGGTTACAATAAATTCTGGGTATTTAGGGTTGCTCTTGCCTTAGCTTATAATTTGGATGCAAAATCAATCCAGCAGTACAACAGCCTTTAGACACAAAATAAGAATGAAGAGTAAGGCAGGGCATGGATTACTCACAGTAGATATTTTGCACATGAAATAGGCAGAATATCAACAGCAAAATTCATACACAGATGGCATGCTCTTTCAGGCTGTTGACAGGCCACTACTGTTTGCTTAACTCTGGTAGCAGTGCTGTTCTAAAAGAGCAAGCCCAGGAATTCCATTGTAGCAGAGTAGATCAGTAACTATAGTGGCTGCAAAGTAACCTCAGCAGCATTCCCACATCTACCCACAGTTGCTGTTGAAAGCAATCTGACTGCTGATAGTAGTTACACTGACATAAAACTGTTAACTCATAGAACTTGCAGTAGGTATAACATTGCTTTGTTTTCAACCCAGGAGAAATGCTCTGACACTACCCAGTGCCCAGTTCCTCTCTCTTGGCTTTCCACTGAAGGCAAATTTTGTCAATCACACTCAGTTTAGGAACTGAACATCAGGAATTTCTCTGGTTTGCACAAGAAAAACTGTCCAAAAACCAGTTCATAGCCTGTTTTGAAACAGTAAATTTATACTACTACCTACTGAAACAATCACCTTATGAACAGCTAGTGGAGACCATCTAAGGCTGTCACAAATTAGCTACATTGAAATAAACCTTACATAGCTCATCTCTGTCATAATTTTATGGAGATACTTCCAGTATGTAAAAACTTCTTTGTTTCTAAAAAAATATACACTCTTTTTTTTCTTTTAATAGTAGGAGGCAGCTTCCTTTGACTCGAGTCACTTTTAGCCTACAGAGAAAAGCTGAAATCTGAGAGGAGTGAGAAAAACATTCTAAGCAAATTATTTTAAGAGTTACTTTATTTCCTGGGTAGATCTTAAATTATGTTAAATAAGACTCTATAAATGAGATTACTGAGGCCAAACTACTCACTTTTTGCCCTACAACAAGAAAACAAAGAAAAAAAAGCCAATAGCCAACTGTCAAGATAATCTGATTTTACTAATCTCAGCAGAAGCAGCAAAACAACACCACCAAACACAAACAAGGAGTGAAACTCTCAGCTACCTTCCAAACTGCATGTTTGAGAATACCATCCATTTTTTCTAATCAATTGAAAGTAAAAAGGAGTAAAATGTGCTTCCCAAAACAGCCTTCATTCTTTTAACTTTTGAAAGAAAACCATCAACGCCTCAGGCTCTCACAGTTCCTTCAGTTCACAACTGATCAACACTTTCAGTAGCTGGGTATATGATTTTGAATAATACTGTACCTTTTATCTTGGTCTTCTTGATTATCACTCACTTTGTTAAGAGACAACAGCCTTTTATCTCTGGGAACCTGAGAACAACACCAGGCATGGGGTCAGGTAAATGCAACTGTCAGGCATTTGCAGCTTCAGACTGCTCTACAGCAACAACTAGAAAAATGTAACTCTATCAGTGTTGTCTAGTTCACAGATGCCAGAGCTGTTTTTCTTTGGGTGACTGACTGTGAACAGAAAGAAAATTTCCAAAGACAAAAAAAAATAGGAATTTCTTTCTTTTCTAGTTCTTGGGCACACCAGTTAGCAGCAAAGCACTCTTCTTTATGTCCTATCTTTTGAATATTAAGCTAGGCCAAGCTATCTCAAAATCAAAGCTCATATTATTCCAAAAACACACACACACACTTTTCACCGAATACAACAAGATGAGAAGGAAGATAGGATGCCTTGATGAGCTGTACACTGAGACCATTTTAGCTCAGACAAAAAAGGCTTTTCAATTAAACCATAAGCGCCAGGTAAGTCCTCCTGTTAGAGAGAAGCCTGGAGAGTGCAGGACTCACACTTAAAGTTTGTGGATCTTTCCCTTTCTTAGTATGGGGACAGGTCAGGGCATGCTGGTATGTCATCAGAAACACTGACTTCTGCTTTGCTGACTGCATCAATAGCTCTGAGAGGTAAAAACCCAGACAAATCTGGCCCTTGACAGACTCAGAACTGACATCAAGCGACTTTAAAGATTTGTATTCCTACACACCAGTGTCCTGACACCAGCACAGATATAAAATCACTAAGGGAAAAGTTGCTGCCATGACCATATTTTTCTTTTTTTGCTGAGCCATTAATTTGGGAGCTAAGACTTCTATTTTTTGCACAAGACATATCCACTCCATTGCAGCAATTAACTCAGGATTAAAGAGCAAGAATAGACCTACGAATGGGCTAAAGCTGTGCTTTTTACTTTTAAATATTTTAAAGAAACATCAGAAAAATATTTGACTTTAGAGGAAAAAAAGTATTACAGTGCACTCCAGTAGCCAATGATAACATCAACAATAACTGCAAGAGAGCAGCACAGTCACAGAGCTCTGTGCAGAGCTGTTCTTTCTTTTAGGAACATCCCCTTTTCATATTAAGCATCCTGCTGGCTAAAAAACCATTTTCATTTATTTTTTTGAACTGGGATAAAAGCCACAGTTTACATATGCTGATTCCCCTTTTAAGATTATGTATTTTTCTCTGAATGATGTTCTACGTTTAGGTAAAATATCACTACAAGGAAAAGGAAAAGTTAAAAAAACTCAGACAGTTAAATTCAAATAATTCCTATTGACTGGACACAATAATTCAAAAATATTATCCAGCACGTTACAGCTAATGAGCCAGATTATAAATAAGGACAATTCAAGAGTCTCGTGCATTGGAAGTCCTCTACACTTCCCCATTACAGCACAGAGGTTAAGTTTTAAGTTTGTGTTTGGGAGTATCAACAAGACTTATCATTTTATCCCTATTTAAGACAAAAATAGATATGATTGAATGCTGGAAATGGTTTTGAGATGTTAATCCCACCTTATTCCATCTGAACCCCAAGTCTTTAGCAACTACCTGGAACAAGGAGCAGACATGTCCTTTAGAACATGGTTTTGAGAAGGAAAAGGGCAATTTTCTGGTTTTATTACAAAAATCCATCAGATTAATGAACTGCTACATACAAAGGTATTACTAAGACAGAAGCCAATACTCCAGATGCTCATAGACATCCTGAATTTTATGAATCCATATTAATTTCAAAGACTCTGGCACTGTGGTAACTATGTCAAGCAGAGAAAAGGACCTTTTGTTCTTTCTCACTGGGAACAGTTTTCTCTACTGACAACAACACACAAAAGCAAGGAATATAATCAGCAAAGCAATTAAAACAATATTTAACCATAAGGTTGGTATATGGCATCTTCCCTACAATCCCTTCTCCTGAACACTCAATTAATGTCACAGAGATTAAAAAGAGGAGTCCATTCATTAAAGCATTTATACTAATAAATACTAAAAGAATAGGTTTTTAATTCCCATTCCTGTTACTTCTTCAGGAATTACAAGGGGACCTGGCATCACTGTGCTGGCTTTCACAGAAGATCATCTGTCCAAGGCAGCCATAACTGATTTCAGGGGTATGGAGACAGTTGCAGTGAAATGAATTTCACACTCTAGTGCTTGGGAGGCAACACTGATTCTGTTTGCAGAGTACCAAGGGGTCAGCATGGGCTTCAGAATGACATTTTTGCATTACACAGAGATGCATTCTCTAGGAGTCTCCTCTGCTTTCAGCAAAAATTTCAAACATAGCTTTATTTAAACACTATGAAATATATATATATATTTAAAAAAAAATTACTAAAATTGTATGTAAAGCCCTGGGTTTAGAACATGACAAACTGAAGCTACATCAGTGCTTTTCCTGTAAACTGACTTAGATCTCTGGCTCTGTGTCCAGCTTCATTTCTGTCCTGCAAACTGCCAGTGCAAGGGCTAGCCCTCACTGTATGTTTGTATACAGCCTACTGCAATCATTATACAAACAAAAATAACATGGGAAATTGTCAGATGAGAGATACCCCAGTTAAAGAGCAAACTAAAACATGTGTGGAATGAACCAGAAAAGCAGACAAATGCACAGATGGACAAGGCCTCCCCTTTTACACTTAAGTATTTCAAGTATCATCCAATGTCCTTGCAAAGGAAGAACACTATGCTCAAAAAAAAAAAAAAAAAAAAAACATGGTATAAAATTTAATATGGGAATTCTGAGATTGTTTTTTTCTCTCCAGAATTAAATACATCAAAAACAGTTTCAGACAGGCTTTCTATAAATAATGGGTGCATGATGGGAACATTAGAGAGAAAAGAAGATGCGGTGACTTTTTTCTTTGAAAACCGGTTCTTTTGTTGCCTCTTAGAGTGGTCCCTGCTACTGCAGCAGGGAGGGATAATGACAGAATTACCTACTTTATAATAGTCATACAATAGGCCAAGAGCAGCAGCACTGTCCTCATCACCATTTATGCTCATCATAGCCTTGGTAGCTGCTGTTAGGGGATTCTCCAAATACGACTTCCAGGCTTCATCTTCACTGGTGTAGGCTCGTCTGGTGTTGAATGAAGTGTCATTTGGCACTAAGGCCACAAGCCGCTTGTTACTGCATAGACAGGAAGAATAAAATTGTGATCCAGAAGGGGTTACTTTATTCACAAGGCATGGTAAAGAACATCAAATAGCTCAATTAAAGTTAAATGATTACATCAAGCAAGTGTCTCTGTATTACACTTGGTGACATAAATATTTATCAGTATTAGCTATCTTCAGTACTTAAAAAAAAAATAATTCAATTGCGCGCAGATCTTGTGATAATAATTCAAATTTATTTTTGCTAATATACAAATAGAGTTACAAAAATATTTTAAAACTATTTGGAAAAAAATGAAGCAACAATATAAGAACATTCTGCCCCAGTATTCTTGCTATGTGTACACTTGATTAGGGAAAAAAAATGTGACATTTAACTGACATAAGACATGAATGAAAAACAAGAAAAAGCATCTAATACTAATCTAGGGTTCACCTAAACAGAGTATAGTTCAGTATTTATTAAGTGGGTACACCTTAAAATTAAGCTATTCTCTGCTTTTAGAATGCAACTTGTCAGTAATTTCAGAGAAGTTTTTTGTACCAGGACATGAGCAATAGGTCCAGTGGATGGGACAGAAGTAAACATATTTGGTCTCAATGCACACTTTATCACTCACTGCATCTAATTACAAACCCATGGTAACACACACAAGACCATCAGTGAGTGGCATTTGCAGCCAAAGCAGTTTCCTCCAGCCTGGAAGTGGTGCAAACTGACCTGTGCCCGTGCATACTGCATGAGAAGCTACCGCACCACAGCTATGGCTGAAATTTCCAGTATAATGGAAACACAAATGAAGATAATAGCACCTGCTTTTGCAAACTGTTCAAAAAACTTATTGATAAAACAACTGCATTAAAAAAAGGTTGCATAAGATAGTAGGCAAACAGATTAGGCATGGGAAATAGTGGAGTGAGGAGTGTGCTGCTTCATGGGTGTTACAAGAGCACTGTCAAGAACTGTGGCTCAACTTAGAATTATGACAACAAAACTTTTAACACATTACACCTTACAAATGTGAAACTTGCAGAGATGGTATTATAACTAAATATACCAAATGGTAAACTAGTAGTTATTCCTGGTGACTTTCATAAAACACTTTTTGCCATCTTCCACATAAAAGCCAGTTTAGTAGTCAGCCTCCTCTTTCTGTTCTGCCTTACCTGCACCAGTGCCAGCTCCACAGATCTAACCCAACCAACTGCTGCTGTTGCACAGAAAGTGGCATTTAAACTGTGCAAACAAGACTTTTATTTGTTTTCCGAAATAGGATTTGATAAAAGCACAACTGAACCCAGTAAATGCTCTCAGATGCTGGGAGCATGCCTTGCCTGGCCCCAAGCTGCAGTGACCAGCACCTTGGGGTAGCACCAGATCTCTGCTGTGGTGCAAATCCAACCTGCAAAGTTGGTGCTCCAGTGCTTAAGGAAGAAGAGGGCGGGTGGTAGAGATTATAATCTCTATGGTACAGAGCACTGTTTACAAGTTTCTTTATTTAATGAAAAACAAAATAATCCATCTGGTACACAGAGCACAATTTTATGAGCTCTGGGGGGGAAGAGAGCATTTCATAGCTTCATATCAGAAAATACAGCCAGTATTTTTACAGTTACAGTACCGGTTCTATTTTCCTTTCATATAAAGTAACTGGATTTTTGGAAACTACCTTTTTGTTTGGTTGGTTTTTTGTTATTGACAACACTTCTGCCTGGCCTTTTGCTGAAGATTTTTGTCCCTCTTGCTTTCACATATACATTTGTGTTATTACAGGTTTGCTTCAGCAAGTGTAGCTGAACATAAACTAGCAGTCTAAGGAAATACAGAGGCAACTGCTAGGCCTGCCTGCCTTTTCAATACCTTATTGTTAGCAACTCAAATCAGATTTGCAACAGCCCTGCAGTTTGTGCCAAAGGTAGCTGAGGACCTGTTTCCACTCTGGAGTAGTCAATTCTCCCTGGCTCAGATGCAATTATTCCAAGCAAGGATTCTCCTTTCCTCAACAAAGCTCCCCTTCAGCTAAATCTGGGCTGCTTCACTGCATGGGCTGCTGCCCATTGCAACGCACAAAATCCCACTCACCCTTCCTCCGGTAGCAATCTTCCCTTAAAATCAATAACTGCCTTTTGTTCTGAGCACTCACAGTGTGCAACAGTCATAACTGATTTATGAGCACTACAGTCAGACAGCAAGATCCCTTTAAAAATACACCTTTTATGACTTGGGCTGTGCTTGTCTGTAAAAATGCTGGAGGGGAGGAGTCAATCTCTGTTGCTCTAACTTAGCCAAGATGATCTTAAAGCAATGACCAGAGTGCAGTCTCACAGAGGTGCATATCTGATTGTCTTGGGGAGAAGCCAAAGCAAAGGGAATAAATGCTCTAGAAACAGCAACTCAGTAAGTAAGCAGTTGGGATGGTTGGAAAGGCACAAGTGCATAGACTTAGAGCCTTCCCAGCATCTCTTCAGACATGTTTTTTTTCTAAAACTCAGGTTTTCACATTTGAAAGCAAAGTATCTGTCTCCTCTGCTTTGAGAGATGGTCTGCAGCATAATCAACTGCCACACTCATTGTGTTTACTCTGCAAACAGACTGAAACAATAGCACTAAGAAAAATAAAAAACTTCCTCATCACCCCTATCCCTGTAATCAGCTCTGCAGGAGGTTAATGGTCAGAGCTAATTATCATGACTTAACATAGTCAATCATTTCAAAGATTATAGCCAAAGTAGTCAGCCAAAACAATTGGGCCCACTTAAAGAAAACTTCTCTATGAAATAAGGCCGTTTGGATGAGAGGAAGAGTTTCTCTGAAGAAATGAGACTGGGCATGCACACACATTCCCTTTCCTTTTTGCACAACTGCTGAACCTCCTTGGACGATTTCAGCTAAATGTGACAGAGCAAAATCCTCCATAACCAGAGGAGATAAATACACTGCATTTTAATATACACCAAGAAAACCCAGCATCCTAAGTGAGGCTCCACACGGATAAGCTCCCTGGTCTTGTCAGTCATACTTCCATGCCAGGGCAGCCCCAGCTGTTCCAGCTGTGCAACTGATAACAGCTGGCAGCTGCTAGGGAGGAAAGTGACTGTGGTGGTACCTGGACCGTGCGGAAGACAAAGGGTGACACCTACAAGTAACAGCAATCCCACTGTAGAGCTGCCCTGACCATCCCAGTGGAAAGAAAAGCCTAACTTGCAACCTGCAGTTAGTAGATCCATAGATCTTTGAATCTTATCAAAAGCTGAAAATCCATCAGTGAACACATCCACCAAGAACTACACACTTAAGGAAAAAAGATAGGCCAAGGTTGAAAGACTCCCACTCAACCTGACCAACCACACCAGCAAATACCTACTGTAGCCCCAGCCACACCTAAAAACCTGCAAAAGAGCAGAGAACAAGAGCAACGCCTGCTGTGCCCATTCCTCACCCGGGCCAGCCCACCACCCCTCTATCTGGGAGTCAGGATGTGTGCTAACCAGAACTCAGCTGTGCGGGACACACTGGTACGAGCTGAAAGCACATCCTCGTTTTATCGTGGAGAAACAGATGAAGAATTAGGATACTTGGTATCTAAAAAGTAAATGTTTCCTTTCAAGCTACCACTTGAGCTCCTCATGAATGCAAAATGATTCCATTATATTATGTCAAACAGTAGTAAGTGTGCAAGAATGAAAGGTATTTTCTGGGCAATGGTCTAGCTAGGAGCCAGATTGCTCTGACACGGGAGCATTTATGTCAAAACTAAAACTTCAGACGGCCTTTATTTTGCAAAATCATTTTTTCCCTCCACTGCTTAGTAGAGATTTTCCTGTTCTTACCATCCAAAGTGATTTGTGTGTTTTCATAAGACATACATAAATTTTCCAAATTAACAGCAGTTACAGTGATTTTTTTGAACTTTTTTACAATTAAGAATATAGTATTTCATAAAATCTATACAAGTGTAGCATATAAATACAAAGATATCCAAACTTTAGTTTCATTTCAGTTACTGCAATGCAAATTGGAAAGGTAAATTGTACTTAACATCAATAATACTAAATGGAAAAGGCCAGCCTTTCAAGCTCTTCCTCGGATTAAAGATAATGAACATACAAGAGCCAGCCCTTGGGGCTACAAAATCCTACTACAGGCAAATTCTCACCCAACTTGATGCAATTTGCGAATTAGCTCACAATGAATCAGAACTGCCCATTAACACACTTGTGAACAGTGGTAAAAGGCTTGGTGACCAGAGCTTCCTTTCTATTCAGAAACAAGGTGTCCTGCCTGCCAGTCTCTTAAAACCAGTTTTGATGCTCAAGAGCTTTCTTTTGAATTTGCAAAGCTCAATCAGCCCTCAACTTCTCACCTGCATCTGCCACTGAACATAAAGCAGACTCAGGCAGCCATGCTGCATCAAGTACATATGCATCCTGCTGCATCATATACTCAGCATTACAACCTGATCCAGTTGGAACTAGTGGGAAAGAAAGCCTCTTCCTACCTGCCCCACATCTTTTGCCTTGCTCAGGAAATTCAACCCTGAAATCCAAAGCAGATTGTTTAAACTGCCAAGGTGGGCACCCAGCCCAGGCATTTCCATTTTTAACTGTGGGGTGTTGTTTTGTTTGGTTTTTTCGTTTCTTTTTCTTTTCTTTTTTTTTTTTTTTTTTGACATTGAATTTGTTCTTAAAAAAACAAAGTTACAATCAAGCTGCTCCATGAATATACCTGCAGACTTCTTCACCCTGTGACAATGCAGGAAGACTTTCCCCTCCCTGCAGAGGCTAGGTGCCAGATGGGAACACACAAGCAATGTGTGTGAGGCAGGAGAATGGGAGAGGCTCCAGTTCCCAGGTTTCAGCCCAGGCCTCAGCCTGCCCATTCTTACACAGGTGAGACAAAAGAGCACCAGGCACACATCATCTGCAAACTGTTCCTTCAGGAGAAGGGATACAAGGCTTTGGTCCATACAGATGTTATAAAACATCCAGAAATTTTGGCACTAGTCAAATAACTAGAAAAGGCAAGACAGACTCACATCACCCTTGTTCCCAGCCCAGCACATCAAGGTCATAGGATATTTATCATAAGCTCCTTGTTAGTTCCATGATAAGAAGGTGACCAGGGCAACTGTCTCTAATCTGCAAATGCTGGGAGAAACAAAGTCTAAAACAAGATTCTAGCAAAGGGACCACTTCTGTTGCACACAGACATGCATCACACACACCACGGTGCACTCTGGTCTTTCCTCCAGTGCAAAGTCAAAGAAATGGTGAACTTGTAAAACACCCATGTTTCCTTTGGTGTGACAAAAGGTACAGGAGCATGCTCCAGACACATCCAAGAACCAGAAAATAGAGCAGAAGTTCCCACTCCAGTTTTGACACCAGTAAGAAGGTCAGAGTATGATCACGTACAAATATTTCAGTAGTTCTCAAACCCTCTGTAAGTTTATTTTACATTTACACAAATCTTAGTTCAGCTGTAAGACAACCATAAAAGAGATCCAGAACAGATGTTCATGCAATTTGTCTTAAAATTAATGCACATACATATGAATTCATAGGCACAAAATGAAGTACTATGACCATTTAAAATGCAGGACAGATCCCACAGAAGCTGCATAAGTTAAACTTCAGATTCCAGATCATAAACTTTTGCCTGAAGTATAAATCAAAGGTAGTCCTAGCACTTTAAATCATTTGTTTCAAAGAGTCTACTGTTTGTTTTGGCCCAAGTTTACTACCTTCAGAAAACTACTTTGCCTACTTGACATCAAGTTAAAAACAAAACAAAAGCAAAAAACAAAACAAAATTTAAAAACCACCCCACAACTTGTGTGGCTCATTGCAAGTTTTGATTTATTTGATTAAAAAAAAAAAAAAATCCAAAACTTGAGACTCATCAGGATTTATTGCCAAAGGTATAATTTAATAGTCTCCAATACTGTTGTTTCAATTAGATAATAGGGTTCTGTTAAAACTACAAAGGAGCATAAATATTTAATGAACAGGAAAATTATGGCCCATGTTTCTCAGCATTTTGTCTTTCAGAACTGACAATCACATCATTCCCAGCACAACAGATCTCCAAAATGTACTTAACCTAATCCAGAGACTATATAAACACAAAAATGAACTGAGAGTGAAGAAAAAAGAAAAAACCAAAACACCAAATCATTTAGACCACCAGGAAACAAAAAGGTAAGATGCCCTCTGGCCCACAAGTCCATACCAAGGAAAAAGTTCCCATTAAAGAGGCTGAGTAATTTTGCCTTCTAATGAATGCATGTTTGGGACTCTTGCAGTTTTGGGACAATTATACTTTTTGAGCACAAGATGAATCTGAACAAGATTACACACATGAAATGATTAAAAGAAATTATTTTACCATTACTAAACGGTCTGAGAGGAAGTAAAATAATATATTAAGAACAGCAACAATGAATGGCAAAACAGACTAGTTTAACAATTAGATGCCTAGTAGAAGTTTTATTTGTTTTTACTCTGAACCAAAATAACTTGAGCATGCAGTAGTGATCAAGAGATTAGAACAAATAGGTGATTCATTAACATTGACAAAAAATTATTATTAACTACGTAAAAGAGGAAGTATGAAAAAGAAATCTGACACAAGGATTAAATACATACAATAAATGCCTACTGAGGACTAGTTCAAGGAGGCGATTACTTACCCTGGGACAGACTTTTTATATCTATTTCAGAGGCTTTTTTTTGTTTCACTTGTAATAAAATATTATTTCCACCAGATAATCTTGTGTTACTTGTATACTAAGGCTGTTGCTTTTATTTTTTTTAATCATGACTAAGAGTCTCAAAAAAATGACAGGTTTCAGCACATTTGTAAAAAAATCAAAATGAGGAAAACCTGAAGGTCACAGCATTTCTGCAGGAGCTGACAGAGTTCATCAGAATTAGCAATTATTTAGTAGCTTCATGAGAGGCCATGCTGTTTTCCTAAGAAGAGTACTTCGTGTGCATAGCACCTGAGGTTGTTTTAGCTGACTTAAAGCAGCCAGAAGCAGGCTGTAAAATTAAAAACAGGTCATGACAAGGCTGCCCAGACCTCCTACAATTTAACCTGACCCTTGGCCCCGTGGTCCGTGTTCATTCACTGCTTCCACAGAGTTAATGGAAATGGAATCATTTCTTCACTGATAGCACTGATTGCTTTTTTTTCAGGATATTAAACCTTTTATGTAGCTAGAAGGAAAACATGACTTGAACAAGCAGAGCTGGGAGTCAAGATTTCCCACAAACATTTTTTAAAAGTATACAAACCCAAAAATATACTTTATAGAACTACTTACATACATCATTAAGGAATATACCATTGCCTCTCCAAATTAGGAATATTAACAAATCTATATATAAAAATATATAGCTATAAATAAATATATATATATATATAAAAGAAATATATATGTAATCTTTGATGTTTGAGACACTCTCAAGCTATAGATACATTGCGATATTTGACTTCACAGTTCAGATGTATTTAATATGGTTTCCTTGGTTAAATATTGTGTAAGCAACTACTGTCTTTTTTATTATGTCAGCACTGTAGAAGAACAGAACAGTATCCCTGTATACTAAGATGTCTGAAGTAATTACTTCTCTTCTTTTAACTAGTTAGTACTGTCCTAATCACTGATCAAAAAGCTAATGAAGATGCACCCCAGGATTAATTCCTAGATCAGCATTTGAAAGTGCTATTTTGTGTATATACAAAGAACAGCAGCTTAATTTACTGCTTCCTAATAAAAAAAATACTTAAGGTAACCACTGCACTGGATTAATATTCGTGAAATGTTTGGCAACAAATGTCAACTGGTGTAATATCATTTCCCCTGCAGATGTCCCAGCCAAAACAGGGACAATGATGTCCCTGCTGACCCTTGCACAGGGAAGAGGTTATGTGACCATTACAATCAACTTAAAGGACCTGGGAAAATCCCCTCCCTCCTCCTCTTCGGCTTTGATCTTCAGCCTGGTCTCAGACTCCAGCGCCAGAGACAGTAGTGTAAACAGCAAGTCCTAACCATTTGATACTCTTACTCCTCTTAGCTAAGCTTATGGTTGCAAGCTCTATGAGGTTCTGCACGCTGATTTTTCACCTTCCTTACCCAGAAATGGTTTTCTAGGGAACATCTGTGACAGTATGTCTCTATTCAAAAAGTGCAAGAACCAAACACATCCAATTTCTGTTTCTGCATTCATTCCCAGATGAGAACACTTTGGAAAATTAATCTCACTGGATGCCCCATACAGACAATTGGCTGAGGGGAAAAAAAAAATAATTGATTTGTCACCTAATTGCTACTTAATATCTGCTGATGGAAAAAGTGTTTGACCCTCAAGAAAAAATTAAGAACAAAACACAGAATCACATTGTAAATGACAAACCCCCTTTCTGTTACAGCACTAGATGCTTAAGTTAAATATTATGAAGGCAGTAAATTTACACACTGAGGAGAAAACAGTAAATCAAAATTACCCTGTGAAGAGCCCAGTATCAACTTCTGCCACAGATACTACCAAGCAGCAAGCTGGACGTGAACATGCCTCCACTGACACATGGGAACAGGTCTGAACCCATTCCCACCTACTGGTTCCTCTCCACTCAGTTATTTACCTACATGCACACCTTCTGCTGCAGACCCAGGCTGCCCCAAACCCTCCTTTATGCGGGCAGTCAGAGCATGCCCCAGCTCCCTGGTGTCCTGAGTAGCTCTGCACAGCCTGGGCTGTTGGGAGGCTGGCAGGGGGCAGGCAGGCAGCAGAGAGCCAGGGCAGCCCGCAGAGAGAGCCAGGGCAGCCAGCGTGCCGGGGCCTGCCACCAGCCTGCCCTTCCTGCAACTGCTGTCCCAGCCCACCGGGGCCTTCACACAGCTCCGGGAGCAGCAGGGACACAACTGTGCCATTTACAAGACAGATCCCACATGGTTGTGCAATTGCTGCTCCTCATTCATAGAAGTGCTGTCAATTTCTAAAACCCAGTTAAGTTTCACAGGTAGCAAGCTCACTGATTTGCTCCACTAATGCACTAGAGCAGTGACTCTGGAGTTTTGTGTTGATCACATTTTTGTATACTACTAAAGAACAACTTTAGCCTATAAATGCAGAAGTGTACCCTAGAATAATCTTTTCACCTTGCAAAAGGGATGCTCACTCCTTCCCACCCTGTGTCCCTCAGCCTCCCCCTCAAAGGATCTGGAAACTGGATAATAACAGAAGCAGCAGTACAGACCTAGAAAACACTCAGAGTGGGAGGGGGACACATTTCCTTCTGCAGAGATTATAGTTTGAACAGTTATTTTCTTAACAGCTGTTATGTGCTTGCAGCCCTGCTGCATATGAACCTAGACCAATGAAAAACGGATGTCAAAAATAACAACAACTCTGAGCCAGTTCTCTAGCTGCACAACAGCTCTACTGACACAGCTGAAAGGTTGGAACAGAGGCGGGAACAAGTGGCCACAGCCTGCTTCAGTCGGTATTACCTCTGAAAAACGCATATGCAATCATGCCTTATCTCTCCTGACCCCAGAGTTTGTGGAAACAAGCAGACAAGACCCACTTTAGGCAGAAAGTCTAAAGGGAAAGACAGGGAGATAGTACACCTATCTCAAGGATAATCTCCCCTTCGAAGCTCCTCAATTAGCATTAGAATCAAACACCTGGTTCTTTAGCATTTTCACCTGTCCACCTTCCTCCCTTAAAGCATTACAGAACCTGTCCCCACTGCTCCCTCCCAAGACAGACACTGCAGGCAGCTCTGCATAGTACAGAAGGGTCTATCACCTCTCCAGCAAGGTGAGTCCCACAGAATGTATTTTTCCACACCTTCTATATCCCCACCCCTGCTTAGTCCTCTACACCAGAACTTTAGTAGCACAAGATCCACAAAAACACGTCCAATGACTCTGACAAATTAACTGACTTCAAAAACTTCAAGCTCCACTCTCCAGTCTTGCCTGTAGGGAAGATCTAGTTTTAAGTAAAAGAAAGGCCATGTGGATGAGAATAATTTACTCTCTGGATTAGGTTCTAATATGATATAATTAGAACCTAAAAGGAAAAAAACAAAAAACCACTGAAAACCCTCCCATGCAAACTCCTCACACCAGTCTATTATCTCATTCCATGTGGTCATCTCTTCTGGAAACAAATGTATTTGTCTTCTCATGTTTACACTTGTCTATAGAGAGCACAGGGGATTTCTTTACTCTTCATTTCCTTTTCAAACCCTTACCTATCACCTATAAATTCTCTAAACGCCTTAACCAGAAACAGATCACAGGCATACCTGCAATGGAG